AGCCGCACAAACGTGGAGCCTTGAAGCAGGCCAGAAAGGGAGAGAGCGAGAAATCGAAGTTGGTTCAGGCAGAGGCCAGTAGGCAGGCAAAACCCAGGCTATATTTGTGTACGGTAAGGCCATCGCTGGCACTGCTTAGCCGCCGGTTGCTTAGCTTTAAAATTATACAAGAAAAGGCACACAGAAAACCCAAAACTATTGTGTGGTCTCCCCTCACCTTTTTCATGAGTAAACCTTGGGCGAAACGAAGTTAAATTTGCGTGCTGCCTGCCATTGTTGCCGCTGGTTTTCCTTCTGCTCCTGCGAAGCTTGTTCAGAATGTGTGTCAGCCCAAAAGAATGAACAACATTTCTTCGCTCCTCACTTCTTGCCACCCGAAGCGCTCCTTTTGAATGCGCAATTATGTCAGCGTTAGAGGGAGATGATAAAGAGGAGAGGAGAGCGAGAGAGAGAGAGAGACCGAAAGGGAGAGAGAGAGAGAGAGAGAGCGAGGAAAATAGAAGAAAACTACAACAATTGGTTGCTTTTTCAAGTGCAGTTCACACACACCAGCACACAATTACACATGAACGAGCAGAGGTCTTGCTTTTGCGGTTGCATAAGTGTCAACCGCAACACACGCGTACAGTTTGACAGCCACATACACACACCCAGAGAGTGGTGGATAGAAAGAGAGAGCGAGAAAGGGCAAAAGGGGTGAACGAAATGGCACCTGCCGCCTGCCGCCTGCCGCCTGCCCTGACAGTTGACATCGACACAAGATTGATATTGATGCCCTTTACACCCACACAAACACACACACACACACAACCTTATATATACTCGCTCTCGCAAAGAGAGAGAGAGAGAGAGAGACACACTAAGAGAGGGAGACAGAGTGAGAGCAACAGGAAACGGGGAAAAGCTACTTAAATATTTACAGAAATTGCAAAAAGGTAAACGAAGTTCTCTGCATAAAGAGAACGCAAAAGGGAAAAGGGAAAAGGGACAAGCAAAAGTAGTGTGGCGGAGTGTGGGGGGCAGGTAACGTAAAATTGAATGGTTCCGCTCGCACGACACCCAGCCTCAACCCAACCACGTCGCAAATATGCAAACAATGCCGACTGCCACCGACACAAACGTCGCGCAAATCTTGAGCAAGTTTTGTCCACCCCTACCCACTGCACGAAACCAGCACAAATATCCCCCAATGAGACGATATGGTTGAGCACTCCGACTATTGCATACCCTGTAAAGTTCGTTTTCGAGCTGAAACTTGGCAAGGAATCATTTTATGCCTGAGAGTTTCGAATTTATGTTCATTAAATGTAATTAAGAGGTCATTTTTTCGGCATTTTGTTGTTTCTTTTTATTATATTCTCAAAGAGGCACGATTTTGGATGAAAGTTCTTCCGAAAATCTTACCAAAATGCTCAGCAAAGTGAACTAAGATCGGCGAATCGAATATTTTTCCTAATACACGGCAAATCGTTAAATTGTAAGTCAGTAACTAGGAAATATATTGAGGAAAATATTGTTTTATTTGAGCTTTCTGTTCACTTTACATAAATACATAATAACCAAATGTACTGGGTACATGGCAATGGCAAACCGCAGTGCAAATATTAACCGCATTTCCACAGAAATGTTTCAATATCCGCTACTGAAATTTGGACACACTCAAAAATTGGTAAACCTCAAAAATAAAGCTGGCCAGCAATGACAGGAAATGTTGTGGCAATGAATTGCACACAGAAAATGCACACAAATACCCGTTGCACTTTAGCCTTTCAAATACATAGAAATGGAGTCAAAGTCTCTCCTTGGCTCACTTTCACTTGCGTAGAAATGTTTCCACAATATTTTGTAGTAGTTGCCTGGGGATGGCTGTTGACCCTGATCTGGAGTTCATCTAGTGTCAACACACACTTCCCGCAGGCTGCTACATATACATATACATTTATGTATTTAAATACATTTATACATAAGCAAATCAAATACACCCTCGCACATGGTTCGCTCGGGTATACAAATTACCAGAAGAGCACAACAATTTTGTCACGCATGTGTAGAGCTCTGCGTGTGTGTGTGTGTGTGTGTGTGTGTGTTGGCCAAATGAAAAGAGCCAAAACATTAAAAATGTACCAGCAACAACAGCAGCAACGAGGTCCAAGCTGACGGGCGCCGCAATTTGCTGTTAACATAAAATAAATACAAAAAAAAAAAAAACAAAAAGGAAAAAGCAAATGCTGACACACAAATACAAGTACATATATGTGTGTGTGTGTGTGTGTGTGTGTGTGTGTGTGTATGGGTATGCCGCTGGCAATTGACTTTTGGGCGAAAATGTTCAATATTCACTTTTTGCATATTTAATGATTTTAAACAAATCGAAAATAAGATTTGTGCTGCTCAGAATCGGGCTGAGCCCTCAAAGCTAATGAAGCGCAGAGAGCCAGAGCTTGGCCGCTCCATGGGAGACTCCCAGCCGCAGCGAGTCGAATCAATCAGCTAGATTGATGGGCCAGGGAATCGCACTTAGATTTATGCTTCAAGTCGGAAATGTGTAGAGGAGTTTACAAGTAAAAAATAACCCATGGAAGCTGATGCTTCAATCTCCTCTGATCGGTTGGACTTTGCCCAATGAAATATGCATAAATATGTATGGGAAATACTTTATTGAAATACTTTTTATTGTCCATTGTTTGTCTGTTATCCGCTGGCCAAGCGTCTTCCGTTTCCGGCGCGGCTCTTAACGATGCGATGGCCACCTGCTGCCTGCAGCCTCGCACTCGCACTCGCACTCGTCCTCGTTGACCTTGTCCTGTGGCTGAAAGTCCTTTCAAAACAAGTTTATTAACATTCCCGCTGACTATCAAAAATCTACTCCGACCAGGGACTGTCCCGTGGCAGCCATCTGCCAAGATTCCTGGAACAATTACATGTGTAAAATGTTGGCAAGCAGCCCGGGCAGGGCAGGGCAGGGCCTGCCAAACAGTTCGGCAACCATTGGACTCCGGACTCTTGGCTCTGTTTCGGGTGCGGGTTCGCCGCATTGTCGCCTAGTCTTTGGCCATAAAATGAAATAAAAATCCCCGCAACCAGCAGCTGGAACTCAAAGGCAATGGAAAAGGAAAAGCACGTTCGCAATATGTAAATTTATTTGCTCATTTTTGAACACTCGTGGAGTGCTCTCCGGATAACTTATGGTGTACGGCATCAGCCTGAGGGATACTTCAGCGTTGCAAGCACAGATCGGGGTCAATACTCGGGCCGCGTCTGAGACTTGTGTCTGTGGCCGTGCATCCCCCCGGGGCACACAACAATTTACTTTTTAATCTACTTTTGCTTGAAGCTGCACATCTGATACAGATACAATGCAAAGCGGACAAGAATTTGCCACTTTTCTGTCTGCTTTTGCTTGGTCTTTGCTCTGGCCTGGTGCTTGATGTTGTTTTTATGTTAATGTGCGTGTGTGCGTGTGTGCGGAACTCTCTTTATCTCTGTCTGCCCTGCCCTGCCACGTCCGCCTACAGTCCTTCTGCTCTCTGTCTGCCTCTCTGTTTCATGTGCCTGCTCATTGCTTTTAATAGCCAACATCACGCCATGCATTCATTTATGAATTTCGTGTTGTTCCGCCGAGCTGCTTGCTTGCTTGCTGGAAAAGCTTTTAAAGCCGCAAAAACATAATTAAAATCAGCCTGGATTCAGCATCAGGCAGGCAGCAAGGAAAGTTGTGCCAGACAAATGCAAATGAATTGCGAGCACCCTTACCTGTTACACAGTCTCCCGCTCTCTCTCTGCTCAGTGCTTGTCCAACTGTCGACGCCAGCCTGTCGTCCGCCCAAATGTCGCAGCATACTTTTCGGCGGGCGCTGTAAAACTATTACAGTTATTGCTCCACAAGCGATGGAGAGGAAGCGATAAGTAGGGCATACAGGGGCCGGCCTGCTTGTTGTTGTTGATTTTGGGGTTGGTTGGGCTGCCTTCGATTTTGCGACAAAGATTGTTTGAATACCCTGGAAAGTGGTCACGAGGGTTTGTTCATCCAAAAGAGAGCACAAAGTGCTCTACGAGTCTGCGAGGGTAATTGCTGTTTCGTGCCACGTTTCTGCGGCTTTCTTTTTGTTCCTGTTTATATTTTCCTTTCATTTCTTTGCTATCTGTGTGACGGGTTGGCTGTTTGCTTTGCTTTGGCCCATTGTTTGCTTATCATGTTCATGTGTGTGTGTGTGTGTGTGTGTGTGTGTGTATGTCAATATTTTTTTGGCGTAAGCTTTGCTTTTAGCCATGACAAGTAAATATGGCAGCCAGCTGAGCAGCGGCATAAATTGGCCAAGTCTCAGGCTTCAGTCTGGTCGCTGGTCCTCCCACTCAGACGGCCACTCACTGGTCCAGGGCAGGACAATGCTCCCCTCCTCTCCGCCTGTCTTGGCCTGGTCTGTGGAGCTCTCAAGTGAATCGTTTGTTGTCTTGCTCTTCGGTTTCGCGCAATCGAGAAACTTTTTATGACACAATTTCGCTTTGTTGCCATTTTTCTTGCTCTCCTTCTTGGCACACTTTCGATTTTCGATTTCGCACGGTGTGTGCTGCACGGAGGGGCGTGTGGCGTGTGGCATGTGGCAGTGCCAGTGGCTGTGCCTGTGGCTGTGGCAGGAGGGACAACTGAGTCATGCCGTGTGGAGAGTGGAACGTCAGAACTTCAAATGGCAACAGGAAGGAAGGAAACGGGGTGGTGCCCGGGTTGCTGCTGCTTCTATATTTAGAATTTTCGGAGGGTCTCTGTAACTGGGTCCACGTCCGGACACTCCGGGGGGGTGTGCGGGCTGTGGAAGCGGCACAAGGATACACTTGCCACTCCCTCGTGGCGGGTGCTGCATTCAATGCAAACGAAGTTGCATGCACCAAATGCCATGCAAAGTGATTGAACATGACGGTGGATGGTGTGTCGCAAGGGCGGGCAAGGGGGCAGCCGACAGAAATTATGTGTTGCATACTTACGTGCGCAGCACTGACCTTGCGTGCAGTGTCGAGCGGGTTGGGCCGCCATTGGGAATAGCAGAATACGCGAAACGAAACGAAACGAAACGCCCGAAGAAAGGTTGAAGAGAAAAGCAGGCAAAGAGGTTGCAAGGCAAAGATATGGCCAGGCGCTGCTCCTCCTCTGTCTCTCTCTCTCTCTCTTTTGTGGCAGCAAAGTCTAATTGGATAGGGAGATAGTGCCACCGAATGGGGCAGGTAAGGAGGCACAAGGAGGCAGCTAAAGAATGGCAAAGTGAAAGAGCACTGCGCCCGCCGGCCTAGGCCAAATTAATCGATGAAAAAGATCAAATTCAATTTGCCACAGACCGAGACAGACGGCAAAGGGCGCTGGAAAAGAGCGCCAAGAGGGAGATAGCGAGTGGCAGTCCAGTCAGCCGTGAGCTGAGGCCAAAAGCTGATAAGCCGCCGCAACAATAAAATCAAATCACATCTGCCAGCCAACAGCCAACAGCCAACAGCCAGCAGTCCACCCCAGGCCCCCGGCCATGTTTGTTAGGGCAGAAAAGGGTAGCAGCTAACGGTTAATGGCTGCAGCAACGATTCAAAGCGATTGCTTCTAACTCAAACAGGAATTTAACCATTTAAAACACGGTTTAAAACACGGTTTAAAACACGCTTCAAATTGTATTTCTGGCCAAGAAAAGGACCGCGTGAGGGCGCTGTAATTGAAACACTCGCGAACTGCTGGTAATAATTTATTAGCAATTTATTAGATGCCCAAATGAATGCTCACATTACCGGACACATTCGTGTGTCCTGATTTTCCTTCTTACAGCAGATTTTGAAACCCTTGCAACACTTTGAAGAGACTTCAGAGAAATGCACAGCCATTTTGTTCAAGAAATACTTCACTTTTGGGAAAAAGAACTCAATATTCAATGAGTTCCAGCTGTGTGCCAGCTCGTGGATGATTTGAATTAAGTTCCCCACTTCATTCTACAGGCTTTGCTCTGCCCCCTGCCAGGCACTCTAATATTTTAATAAATCTTCGCTTCCATTTGTCAGACACTTGCAGAGGGTTTGCTTTTGCTGCGTGTCCGTTCGCTTATGGGAAATTCCACACCGAATCAAAGCGTGCATATAAAAATATCAAAAGCCTGCTCCTCGAAGTTGGAGAGCTCTCGGCTTAGGCGGCGCCTAATTAAGTACAAAATTATGAATACAAATGAGTCATTCAGAGGCAGCACAGAGACAAATAGAGCGCATTATTCATGGGCATTCGAGCCATTGGCCGGAGACAGCGCAAATGAAGGCAAACGAGGCAAGAACTTGGAGCTGAAACTGAAACTGGGTCTGAGTCTGAGCTTGGAGAAAGGATCGATTAGCAAGGAGCTACACACAGACTGGAAGTACTTTCCTCATTGCCACTGTGGCTGCTCCTCTTTAAGAAATGTCGATGCCGAAAATAGACTTTCTTTTGCACTTGTTTTCGGTTTTTGCTTTTGCTTTTGCTTTTGCTTGCCTTGTCTTGGGTTAATGAAATGGCTGCCCTACTTTGCCTGTCAGTCCAAGGCGCCCCAACTTGGCACGCAAAAGCCAGTCCCAGGCTGAGCCCCACGTTGGCAAAATCAAGGTTAAGTATATGTATTTATGCGCATATACAAGTGGAGCAGAAGTGGGTCTTCCACCGAGAGCGGAGATACCACTCGGGCAGGAAATGTCAATCAATTAGCCCAACCCAGGCCCAGTTCCCAGTTCCCAATCCCAATCCCAAAGCCAGTCCCAAGTCGCCAGCCCAAGGCGCCAATTGTTGGCGTTGCCTTCGAATTTGTGTATCCTGTCTGACAGCCTGGATTCTGGGCCTGGATGAAGCCTGGGAGTGTCAAGCAACCTGTTTGACCTTAATTTATACGCCGGCCCTCCGATGGCTCTGCTTGATTTACCTACAAAACCTTTTTTCTTCGCCCCAATCTAGTTCCAGGTAGCTGCTGTGGGGTCTTGCTTTTTTGTTGATTATTTATTGAACCAATTCTTAAGTGAGGTTTGATGCTTTTAGTTGAATTTGATTGAGTTCCCTTTAAGGTTTAAGGCATTTGGCTTGTGGCTGTCTCCTTCCCATTCCTTTGATTATTATCCATTCCAATCAGAGTGCCGCTCGCTGGCATGATATTACAGAAATTACAATATGATTTGGCAGTCAGTCCTCCCGTGCTCCTTCCTCTCCCGCCAGTCACAAAACTGTGCCCTGTCTCTTCCCCACGGCATGGCTGCTTCTCGGTGTCCTTTGTGCATATCGAGTCCTTGGTCTGTTCTTCGTCTGCGCTGTTGCCCGACCCAGCCACCCTCAGTCACTCCCGTGAGTCTATTGTCCCCCCGAGGCTTTGTTTTCCTGCTTGCTGCTGTTTTTTTCTTCCCCTCCATTCTCCACGTTTTATCTCCATCTTTCCCCCCTTTGTTTGGCTTTCCTCTGCATTTGTGTTTGTGTAATTGTTGCAACAATTGTGCTTTCCGAATGGGCTAGGCCACCCAGAGGCAGAGCCAGAGCCAGAGCCAGAGCCGGTTATGAGAGCGTAAAATGTGTTGTCAAAGCCAATATCGAAGATGCCAGACCCAAAAGATCCCACGGGTCTGGATGGTTGGCTCTTCACTTCACAGGAAACGTGCGACTTGTGTGCGACACAAGTAATTAGCAGACTCCAACTGAAGTTTCCCTCCCGCAGTCCAAAGACAAGCAACAAAAAGCAGACATTCCCCCCGCTAAGCTGTTGCTGCTACAGGAAGGTGGCTGCCAAAGCAAATGGCAAAAAAGTTTATAAATTTTTGAATAGTCCACAATGGCACAAAGTGAGTCCAAAGGCGAGAGAGAGAGAGAGAGAGAATGGGTAAGCTTGGGGTATGATCCAGCTTCCGACTCTCCCTCGCTCTATGTGGGGTGGCTGTGGAGGCAGCTTCATTTTCTTGATGACACCATCTCATTAATAATGCCAGAGCTCTATTAATATTTGAAGCCCAAAACGCAGCACACCGGAAATTAAATCCCAATGAAGGGCAGGACGATGCTCTCTGCCCGTCCTCACTTACCTTTTAGCTCCCAATCAGCAGGCCTGGTTGTGGGGATGTACACTGTGAATGTTGGATTATACTCTGAACTCGGTTGTATTCCCAAAATATTAGCTAGTAATGGCCCAAAATTGGCCTCAGTCTTGGCCTGCGTTTGCCATCATTTTGGAGCGATTTTTGTCCTTTCACTTATGGTAACTTTTGCCTCAAGCTAGAAATGTGTGTCTCCCTCGCACCAGCTCGTTGCTCGCTTTTCGATTGGATCAGTTGTCAGCTGTGGCAACCCGCAGCAGGACTTGCCCCCTTTGACGTACTTGAAGTGAGCGCTTAGAGCTGCAACATATTCAAAATGTCCATGGAGTCAGCTACCTGCAAGCCCACAGCCAGCACGTACCCGAGTCCTGCTTCATCTGCGCTTTGTGGGACAAGGTGAGCGTCATCCTGTGGCGGCGTTTGTGCTGTAAAGTAGTTGCCGCAGTCCTTGGTCCTTGGTCCTTGGTCCTTGCCACACAGCCAACTCGACCCGTGGCAAAGTGTGTCAAGCCCGTGGAGGACGGGGCAACATTTCATTCCATTTATTATAAATAGGCGACTGCTGCGAGAGGCTTGACTCGCCTCTGTGCCTTTATCCCTTTTGGTCCAGTGACGTCAGGTACAGTGCGTCTCGTCAGCGAGTGCTGATCGCGGAAACAAAAGAGAAAAGTGAACAGAGAACAGACAACAGAACAGAGAGTGGACACAGCACGTGAGTGACACTGCTGGGAGCAGAGATGGAGACTGCAGTTGGCTCTGAAAATAGCAGGGATTGAGGCAGGACACACCAGAGCTGCTGATGCCTTCGAAAGCAAAAGCTTATTGGACTATTGGCCATTGTTTTTTGGGTCTCAGATGCGCTTCCCCCCTCCCTCGTTTGCAGTTCATTAGTTCTCCATCAAGTGGCTCTGGCTCTGGCTCCAGCTCTGAATTAGTCTCCATTATTGTGCATCCATGGAGCTGTAACTCGCAGCTAATTATATGCATTACCAGCGGGCAGGACGAGGCAACTTGTGTCGGTATAAAATGCAAGGAATACTCGCAAATGAATGCAGCGGCATTGTTCGGAAAGTTTCTACAGAAATTCCCCGCTCCCTCAATGCCGCGTGTCCTTCCACATCCACAACTGGGCCACTGGGGCAGCTCCAGCTGCTGTCCCTTGCTGGGGTAGTTCCTCCCTCTGCCCTTCCATCTGGCAGCCACGCATTAAAGCCACAAAATTCATAAATGCCTGAGAGCGTTTCTCGCTCAGCTTTCGAGTGTGCTGCCTGCCTCTAATAAGCACTTACTGCAGCAACCAGGACCAGGACCCTGCCCCTGTCTTGGCTGTAGTTTGAATCTTAATGACATTAAAGATTACTGAGCTCAGCCATCTGAGAGCTGGAACGTGGAACGAGGCAGCAGCATTGCAACAGTTTTCGGGGGGTGCAAGTTTTCCGTGAATAACTTTCATGGCTAATGTTGCCTTGGATAATTTCTGCTTAAAATCAAAGCCCATTGGTTGAGCCGCATTGTGGATATTTAACGCTCACGAGTGGATTATTTTTCCCTGAATAAACTTCACTTGAATTATACTGAATACTGAATTGGGCGCATCTTGATGCTGAGTTTAAAACTTCATTTGCTTTTGTCACTTCCTTGGGCTCCACCATTTTCCTCTGAGAAGCTGCTCTGCTGTGACTCTTTTGTATATTTTGTGCACCTGGCACCTGTGTTCGTATTGCATAGCTTGGAGCTCACTTTGTTTTGGCATCTTTGGTGTACTCTGCTCAACAGATTCCCAGCTGATACTTATAGTTGCCAATTGTAACCCCAAGCACAAGCTCAGAACAAACCTCCCGCCTCTGCGGTTTCCTAATTGCCAGCAATACGAGCTGCTCATCCATTGCCTGAGTGTAGACCATCGAGTTCGAGTGTTCAATGGCCCCTGCCCCTGTCCCTGCCTCAAGTGCGAATAGCCATTTGAGTTGCTCTATTGTGTTGTGCTTAAGCCTGACCTAAGCTCTTTTTGCTGACTGACATTACGCATACGACACGTGCATAGTCGCGCAATTAATTGCAGCTAATAAATTTGCAAGTCCATCCACAACGCAGAGCCGCCTGATCAGCGATAAGTTCCATGGAATATTCAGTAGAACTTTCGCTCCTTTTGTTTTATTCAGAGAACTTCCTTATCCAACTTCGGATAACAATTAGTTTTGGTGCAGGTGGGCTGCCAGCAAAGTTACGTATGCTTAATGTTTGCAATGTGAAAATGCATAAATTGAATTAGAAATCCGATGTGACAGCACTCTGCACTTTGCATACGTGAAAGCCATAATGGCAAATCAATTGAATGTCGCTCAATTAGGCCTCAGGCCGAGTCTCATTAGTTTTAATTGGTCGCTTAGTGACTCAACTGCGCCCTCTAACAATGTAATTAAGCTCTCACTTGTGTCATTTCGGCTGCAAATTTGAATGCCAATTGCCTGCAGGGGAGCATCAAGAATTATTGAAGAGTTTTGCAGCATTCGGAGCAGAGCTCGAAGAGGGCAATTTGGCTTGTGGGTCTTTAAATAAGTAATCCAGAAGTGGTCTACAATCATTCTCATAGTGGTCTCAGATCAATTCCCGAACTTCTAACTCCACTTGCACATATTTTCGTAGCTTTAGACTCCGCTCTAAGCCAACTTCTTGCTCATTTGCTGTTTTCTTTTGCTTGCAGTGCCATATGCAACCGATAAGACTGCGTGATTGGTCAAGTGGTGAACGGCTTGGACAGCGACTGTCGAGAGGTTGAGCGACGTGTGAAGCATCTCGATATGGCGGCTGGTCGGGGCAGCAGAGTTGCGGCGTTGCCCAGCGATGTCGTCTTCGCCGCCACGAGCAGGTGCTGAAGCTGAAACGCAGATGACGATAGCAAAATCGAACATCCATTGATCCAGCGGACGAGCAGCCCACATCCTCGAGTCAAAGCCAAAAGATATCCGCACTTGGAGTCGGAGAATCAGCCACAGCCACAGGCAAGGCCAGAGACAGTGAGTTGCCATTGGAGCATCCATATCCATCAGCTGACAACTGTCAGCTGCTGTCATCCGTCAGCTGTCAAGAGCGAGTCCAGTCCAGCTGTCAACGGCAAGCGGAAGATCGGGCCAGGAACGGACGAGTGCGACGAGTGGCGCAGCGTAGCGTGTAGGCGGCAAAATGCCTGGCGGACGACGTGGACTGGTTGCGCCACAAAACACATTCCTCGAGAACATCATCCGGCGCTCCAATTCGCAGCGTGAGTATCCCCCCTTTCCCTTTCCCTTTACCCGCTCAATCGATAAGGCATGCCTCAAGTGCGAATGTCTGTCAACACATGTCCAATTATCGCAGCAGAAGGCCGAGTGCCGAAGTGAATAGGATATGGAAATGGAATTGTTTTGGTCTGCTGCAACTAGTCAATGCGGTCAGTGGCAACACTTTCAATTAGGGGAAAGAGCAGGCAGCCGCCTCCTCCATCGAGTGCCCATCGCCTTTGAGGGAATTTGCCTGGGAAATACCTGATTCGAATGCGATTCAATCCGAGGGCTTACAACGAGTCGAGCACGGCTTTTGCCGGGGTCAAAGCAGGCAACAGGCAGCTGCTGCAACATCCACAACATGAGCTCACAAAGTACCAAGGGGACCAAGGGGACACACATGGAAATGGAGTGCCATGCAGCTGCAACTTTGCGGATAATTAACAAATCTGACATGGCGCCACTCGTTTGCCCTCATTCCGTGTGTCTGGCTCTGGCCGCTGCCAGACCCAGGCGTGTGTGCATAGTGAAGATAACAAGTGACAAGTGACAGGAATGGAAAGGCAGCTGCAGGCACAGAGCAGCTGAAGATGGAGAAGGATGCACCGGGAAGGAAGTAAATCGAATGATGAAAAACAAATGAGTGAAAGCCACTCCATTGATCACACAATAAACAGCCAATGATTGGGTTCTATGATCGGGCAATTGGCTTGACTTGGGCTCTAATTGCAGCCCAGGTCTGTGCTACTCCTTTCAGGCTTCCTTCCCCCAGCTGAGACTGGACAGTCCTCTGCCCTCTACTTTCTGCTCCATTAGGCGTAGATTTCACATGCTCCTCCAGGAGTCCTTCTGCTCGGGCGGCTGTCGAAAGCGGATTACTCTGAAGAGCAGACACAAAGCCTTTTCCAAAAGGATTTCGTTTGACTGACAGAGTGGAAGGGAAAAAACGTAGGAGAACAGCAGGGACACAGGGGAGTCAGCAATGAGCCAGCTTTTAGCTAGGAGCATGGACTGGCTCCTGCTCCTGCTCCTCGTCTGCTGCCATAAAGGAAATGCACACAGAGGCGGAGTAGAATGGCAAATGCCGGACGGAGTAATGCTCACTGAATGTGTAAGTGCAGCACATTAAGGCGGGAAATTGCGTTTATACTTGAGGGCCCAGACCCAGGGCCAGGGCCAGAGCCAGAGCCAGAGCCAGAATGCAAATGGCAGGGCATAGCCCTGGCAAATGGCTCAACTTCTTTGTCTTCTTATGCATCTTTTACTTGAACCAAATAAGCACCCTGCAAGAGCCTTCCATCTCGAGTCCTTGCGCCATCCCTTTGGGCAGGAGGCCAAAACTGACCAAAGGCCTGGGAAAGTGGCAAGCGAGGCCCAAACGGAAAACCGCCAAAAGAGTGGAAGAGTGGACACATTTTTTAATTAGTTGACTTTAAGCCGGGCCCTGAAACCCCTTTTCGGTGCCGATCGATTGGGCCAAACAAGTTGCAAATAGGCAAAAATTGGTGTCCTTGTTTGGCCAACAAACTCATTAAAACTGAAGGAAAATCCGAGGCCCAGTCCTGGCACAAAATGTCCACAAGAATGCCGCGAGGAAGAGCAGAGCAGATTGTCATCTCTCCATGTTTTGGGCCAAACAACTTTGCCCTCGCTGTCGCTCCGTGCTCTGTGCGCTGTTTGCCATTTTTTGGGGGTTTTTTTGTTGTCACTTTTGCGGCTTGCCTCGCACGCTTATCTCGAGTGCACATTGGGCACCTCGATGCTCGCTCTGACCTTTCTGTCTGGTCTCTGTCGGCAGAGCCAAACAACATTAGCAAGAACAGCAAAAGGAGTGCCTCGCAGCTGGGGACTGGAATGTGTCTAGGCAGCGCCTTTCTGGCATCGATCAGTTTTGCCTGGCCCGGGGTAGTGGCACTGATAGCTGGGCCTTGAAGTTTGCTTCCTGCTTTCGGTGGTTGCTGCTGTCGTGAGGAACAAGTGTCGGCAGGAACAAGTTTGTGCGTTCCAAATCCATCACGGCGGTTGTTTGGATGGATGAATGTTTGTCTAGGTCAAGGGTATGAGTTTTGATAGCTGAATAAGCGATGAATCAGCAATCCAAAAGAGAAAAGTGCAAGGAAAGTGCCTCAGGAATAAAGTTAAAGTAGAAAGCAGCCAGCAGCAGAGCTTGGAGTGCCTGAAAATGGAATCGTTAGAGAGAAAAATGCTGCACAGCCCGGAGGAGAAATGTCAAGCCACCAAACAGGCACACACTCTCTCTCTCTCTCTCAGAGATGCACCAGCCACGGAATTCGTGACACATGCAACAAGCCGCAAGCCCCCCCCGCAGCCCAATCGGTTAACAATTGCAATTATGCACAATCATTGTCTGCCGTCAGGCCAGCAGCAACTTCCATGTTCGACTTTTCCCCTTTGCCTTTCCGGCCCGTGCTTGTTATTGATTTTCATTTTTCATTTTTCATTTCGTTTGCTCTCTGCCCTCTCTGTGTGTGCACCGGAACATGGGGCATGCCGTGTCCGAGCAGACATTTGGGCTGCCAAAACAAAACAAAGGGAAGCAAAAATAAGTGCAACAAAAAAGTACAGTCAATGATTTACAATGAAATCCGCAGAGAGGCAGCAATCTGTGGCAATTTATAGCTGAATTTGTATTGAAAGTTTCCCAAAAATGTGCAACTTTCCTTCACATCGAGCTGCTGCCTAGGGTATCCCACTCGTCGCCTTGCTCTCTGTTGTTGTTTTTGTCTTGTGTTTGTCGCTTGTTTCGTGTAAATTAACGTCGTGTTGGTGGTGGCACTTATTGATTTTGGCACCGTCCACCGTTCACGCTTTATTCGCTCCCTGGCTCCACCCTCTGCCACCGCCACCTGCCTCTGGAGAGGGTATTGCCGGTTCCATCAACAAGCAGACACAGCCATGTGGAGACCTCTCAGATAAACGATCTCAGGGCAGTGCTCGTGGTTTTGGCTTTAATCGAGGCCAGGCTCCACTTCCTTCCTGCCCTTCTGCCTTCCTGTTCTTCCTGTTCTTCAACCTCTGTTTGTGGCCGGAAATGCGCGAATGCACCCCATTACCCAGCGGACCCTGCTCGGACCGCGAGAAGGTCAAAGTGGCGTAGCACCCTCAGAATTATCCAATGCAAAGCGAGAAGAAACAAAAGTCACTGGCAGCCATAAGAATAATCTGCCCTGACCTGGACTCTGGCCTGTTGACACGGACACGGACACCGACACGGACACGGACACGAACAGGGACTGAGGCTCGTACTCGTACCTCGCATTGAATCACAGCCAAAAAGGGAAGAACAAAAGGACACAAAGGGTGCAAGGGTGGAGCGGGGCAGCAAATTCAAATAAATACGAAAAACAAACAAAGTTGTTGTGCCCCCCGGGGACGGTGGGTGGCTGATTTCGTGTCATTCGGCCATTGTGTGTGGTTGCCAGGTGAAGTACGAGTATATTTCGCGCATTAATCATACGCCATGTTGTCGCGGCCCCCTCCGACTGCAGGCCAAGTGTAATCATAACAATCGAGATGCCAAAAGGGAAACCAGCAATCCTCCGGATTGAGGTGAGGGAATGATTATGCTCTGGGACTGAACTACGCCTCTGCCTTTGCCTCTGCCTCTGGGCTACTGCCACTTCTGAGCTGCTTCTTGAATGCTTTTTGGGCCTCGCGTGCAGCTTTGACCTTTGCTGTGGAAATTCCATAGAAATCAATGCGCAACTCGAGGGCTTTCAATGCCATTGGATGCCCACTGCCTGCCGCCTGACCAGCTGGCGATAATTGTGACCCCCTCAGGCAGGCACCTTGCGTAATTCATAAGGATTTCGCCCGCAGGTTGATGTTCGACGTAGCTCCAGGACCCACACACACACACACACACACACATGTGCCTGTAGCCCAAGCCCAAGCCCAGTGCTTTAATTAGGGAACAGCGCGGACTCCAGCCAAGAGAGAGAAAAGCGTAACAGACACCAGTCGGAGGAAGACACACATCGACATTGTGGCAGCAGTCAAACGACACTTAGCGTTAAGTAAAAGGCCATTTAAGAATGTTCAACGATTGGGGGCAGGGAAGGGAATGGGTGAAGCGCAGGCCAGGGCAGAGCTAAGCGGGGCTGGGGCCAAGTCCAAGCTGCGCTGTTGTCCCCAGTCAAATTGGATTAAGTTCTTGTAGTTCCTCCTTTGTGTGTCTCTGTCTCCAGGCCAGGTGGTGCCGACAACCAGCATAAAGGCGACCAAAACTTGTCGAACTTTAGTTCTGTGAGTATCTGCGCTTAGCTGGGCCACTTATCCCAGTTTTTGCAACTAGAATTGTAGCAAAAATGTTGATAAATTCGAAGTGAGGTCTGCAAGAAGCATTCTTAGCTGGAATAGTCGGATCCATCGCTCTCCAACTTTGGCTTCTATGTCTGTAAATCGCGTGTCTCTCTGTGTTTGCTTTTCTCTCTCTCTCTCTCTCTCTTCGCTTGTCGCTGTGTGTGTGAGTGTGTGAGTGCTGTGGCTAATTTGCTTTCTTTTTTACCAATAGTGGCAAAGTGTGGCACGCTGTTTGGGGCCACTCGCGGCACGCAACGCGCCAGAGAAACGCAAAGCCAAAAACTGAATTTGTGGCCAAAATGCAAGAGTTGGAGGGAGAGAGAGAGAGAGAGAGGGAGAGGGCAGCTCACACTTTAAGAAATACATATGTATGTGTGTGCATGTGTGTGGATATATATTTTTGAAACTAAAACTCGATCTTGTTGGCAGCTTTGTTGCTGGGCGGGGACCAGCAAGTTTTTGTGCAAGTTTTACGCAATCAACTTTTTCGCAATTTTTTCCATTTTCCACACACACAACCACAGAGAGAGAGGGAACGGAAGAGAGAGAGAGAGAGAGAGTTGGCTGGCAGAGGAAATGACGATGTCGACGACCAAAACTTTAATGTGGCATCAGGAAAAGCGAGTCGGAGGCAGTGCCACAGAGGAATGAGGCGGAGCGTGGCATATCCAATGGCGCCAACAGCTCTCCAAGTGTGTCTCGCTGTGTGTGTGTGTGTGTGTGTGTGTGTGTGTGTGTGTCTCACACATAGCATAAGAGCCACACAGATACAGTCACGTCAGTTTTTGTGCGGAAATGCTCAAAAATGCTGGACAACATTTTAAACAGAAAATATTGTAATGGCCTGAAATCGGACCGCGGGCAAAACGAAATGAACCTTCCAGTCAGTGGTGGGGTGTGGAGGGTGGATTTGGGCGGTAGTTCATTGGTGCAGCGACAGCACTGTGACAACACACAATTGACCTTGAAGTCAAATGTCCAAACCCAGAACAAAAGATGGGAAATTATTTTGAGAATATAGAAGAGGGATCTTCGGGTAGAGTTTTGCTTACTCTGGCTGTAAATTGAAGCCTGAAACTGTTTTGGCTGCGTGCTGGCCATTCCATGAACTCATTTCTGCGCTTTGTTGCCTATTGCCAGAGATTAGTTTTTTACCAAATATTCTCTTAAATATTTCATTGTATATGGCATATTGTAGTCTTCCCAACATCGTAATACCCCAATTCTAGTTGGACCCAACTGTAGACAACTTTCTCTTTTCTCTCTCTCTCTCTGGCGGTGGCGCTGCGAGGCGTGTGGTTGAGTGGCTCAGTGGTTGGATCGCTGCTTCACACTTAATTATGCAAATTTAATAACAAATGCCAAGTGGCGCACACACAGAGAGAGAGAGAGAGAGAGAGAGAGCGTGTGGAGTGTGCTGTGGGGTGGGGGGGTGACGGTGTGCCTCCATGAGGTTTATTATAAATGCCATTATGCGACAAGTAGGGTAGCGGGCGAGGGATGCGAAAATAGGAATGGTTGCGAGTGAAACTTTGTTGCAATTCTTTTAAAGCATGCCCAGAGGAGTCGTAGCGGCAGCAGCAGTAACAGGCTTTTGCCTAATCAACGCGGTTTTGCTCGTTCCTCCCCTCCCCACTGGCACTCTTCCCCTTTCTTTCTCTCTCTCTCTCTCTCTCTGTCTATCTCCCTTTGTCTCTGTGCATTCGCCAGCTGGCGCTAATGTAATTAAATCGCATTGCTGACACGGCCGCGCCTTCTTTTTCACTTTTCGGACAATAAAATTTATTCACTCGCTCGATCCGTACGGGGACAATGCTGTGTTTGCTTGTGTTTGCTCCAGAGCGAAAGAGGTAAGGATTGTGGGGTGGCAAAATGACATTGGCCATCTGGCAATCTGTGGCCTAATCGCAGCCCCATGGTGGGGAGGGGGGGTGGGGGTTGAGAGGCTGCTGGTTTGGGTACATTAGGTGTGCATAAAGGATAATTGCAAGCACCGTTGTGCCGCCTCAACCGTATAACGGTCGCCATTCACACTAATGTCATAAAAAGCACCGTTACGAGTGTCAGGGTATGTGCGCCGAACAAAAGCAACGACAACAGCGACAGCGACAGCGAAAATGGCAAATGCAAAAACGGCAAAACAATAATGAAAAAAAATTGCCAGAGATAAAGCCAGAGGGAGCGAGCGACAGAGCGAAAGTGTGAGAGAGCGGGCGAGCGAGCGACAGAGGGAGAGAGTGAGAATGCAAGCAAGACAAGACACAGGGAGAGCGCAGATAAGGAGGAGGAGAACAGCAAACGTAAGCGAGCCATGCACAGTGGTTGTCTAACAGTAAAAATGAACAAATTTTGAGCAGCAACAGTGCCAACAATAAAACTTCTCCGCTTATGATGATTCAATGCGTAGAGATGCAGATCAAAATTTAATTTTTATTGTTAAAATTAATTCTAGATCCAAGAAAAAATGTCAGAAAAATTTTTATTTTTTTTTTTTGCCACTGTGCCTCGGCCAGGCGGAAATGAAAGTTTTGCAAAAATTGCAACCACATTTGCATGTATATAAGTGGCTATGTGCCTGTGTGTGTGTGTGTGTGTGTGGTGTGTTCATGGTGTATTTAGTTAATGGACTATTTTTGTTATATCCTTCGGAGGTCTCCATGACAGCCCCCCACCGCCTGCCAGGCCAAGGCCTGTAACAAATCCACTTAGGTGGACTCCGTACGGGCTGCGGTCTACCACACACACAAACAAAAACACAAACACAAACACAAACACACATTCAAATCAATCAACGACAGCAACGGTTCAGGTCCCACAAGCAAACAGCAACAGCAACAGCAACAACAACAAGAGCAACTGTAACTTTTGCAGTTCTTTTCGTTGTTGTTGTTTGTTTTTGGGTAAGCTTACAACTGTAAACGCTGCACGGCTAATTGGCAATGGGGCGGCATAGCGGTGCGGTGCTGCCTCATCCATCATCGAGGTACATGGACCGGAGCCCAGCAGCCAGAATCCGTACTCAGTTCCATTAATATTTCAGGTTGAGTTTGTCAACACAAATCGCAAATTAGCAAACAGCCAGCTTAGCCCCCAACAAGCAAAAGTGCTCGATGCTGACTGTCTTTGCCTTTTGTTTGCTCACAGCTGGTTGTGGCAGGGCTGGGGGTGGACTTTTCAAAATCAAAATCATAAAATCATAAAATCATAAAATCATTAATTAAAATGTTCCCTCCCCCTGCCGCGCTGAAGGAACTGTCAACGTTGACATTTATAATACTCGTACATGCCTCATCCATAATCGAGCTCATAAATGCAATCATAAGGCAATCAGCGATTGGCAAACCCAACCAAGGGACCACAGCAATAAATTCGCTTCTTGCGGTTTGCCTTTTGCCTTTTGCCGTCCCCTTCCTGGCTGTCAATCAGCAATATTTTATTGTAATATTTCTGCGACTTTGGTGGCAGAAACTTTAAGCGAAATATGCCGGAAATTCGATTCGCTTTCAATTGGATTTCCTGTTCATCGGCCGCTGACACCGGAACAGATTCCGTCTGTGGCTCCTTCGCTCGTTGCCATAATCCGGTTAACGCTACTCCACTTCAGAGACATTACGGGATGCGGTTGGGCACAGAATGTGAGGCTTAAAAAGAAATCGCGGCCAGGCAGAAATCGTCCAGGCAAATGGCAAAACTTTTTGCGCGCTTTCAACAGCTTTGAATGCCATTAAGTGGAGGTGCAGGGCAAGCAGGGAGGGAGACCGCACGCATTGCCAGGGCAAGTTGGCCTATTTAGCCCGGTTTCGGGTTTCACCGAAGCGACCGCATTGCCAAGTAAAATATTGTCAAATCAAACACGCACACGCAATGCCGCTCGGCGTTTATGCGTTGCCAGAACAACAGGAAAGGAAATCACGAAATCAGACATCGGAATCAGACAGCATTCAGTCAGTCACAAAGGGTGACATTGAATTCCCGATCAAGCTGCGTGCCAAAAACTCTTCATATTTGCACGCATAAACCATTTTTCCCGTGCCTCTCCATCGCCTTTCAGGGCGTAACGAGATTGCCGACAAAGCCAGCTCCGTGAGGGCAAATGTTGACACTGCAAAGTAGCAAAAGTTGTTGTTGATGTTGATGTGGATGTTGATGTCCTTGTTGCTGTCGCAAAACAGCAGATGACTCCACGTGTGTGTGTGTGGGCAGCACATAAATATGCATTTCCATTTACCAACGGCAGCCAGCCATCGAGCATCGAGCCATTGCATGTGAATATTTGTATACATATTCATTGGCTTGGCCATGTCCATGTCAATGTGGGTTAGTGTGTTGCTGCTGCTGCTGCTGCTGCTGGTGTTCCTACCGTGTCTGGCACCTGCAACACGCAACTCTGGCCATGCGATGCCTGCATGCCCATGCCACCCAACGCCCAACCCAACGCTGGTAATGTCAATAAAAAGTAACATCAACTGATTTCGACTCGCACATCGGATTATACGACGCAGAGGCAGCAGCTAAAACTAGACTCAAATGTGGCAAAAGAGCTGCAAATCGAACTCGTTATTTGAAACCCAAAGAACATCCTTGAAGTCCTATAAAAGCAACACAGACAGCGGATGATAATGGGTAGAAAGAGCAGCACAAAATTGTCTGATAAGAAAACATGATTCCCCTGTCCTGTCATCGAGAGCTAAATAAGTAGATGCAAATAAATATGAAACGGCACAAAAACTGATGCGACACAGCAACAAGGCAAATGTTAACACACAAATAAATAGTAAAACAAGAGAGAGAGGCCTCCCCCCCCGCCTTGCAGGTCGATGCCATGTCCGTGTCCATGTTCGCTGTCCATGTCCGATGCCGTGCGATGGCAGCGCGTGGTCTACATATGTTACCTGCTTACAAGCTACGTTACAAGCAGTAGTAACAACCGGCATTAGTCTGCCGACTAGGCAGCCAGACATGACTGCCGCTGACTGAGCTGACTGAGCACTTGAGTGCGACTCGGTGGATGTATGGGCGGGTGCAGTCAATAAACCGATATTTATTATGAATGACAACATTCGAAATGTTCCAATTACCAAGAGCACTGCTCGGGTAAACTCCAACTAAGTAACTTATATGCCAACTAACAGCACCTTTGTGCGCTTCATTTAGCCATAAGTTTGTTTAGCCACATGGAAAATGAATATTAATCTGAAACTTAATTTTCTCTTTCAGCGGACAGCTCGTTTCTTTTGGCCAACGCACAAATCGTCGACTTTCCGATCGTCTACTGCAATGAGTCCTTCTGCAAGATCAGTGGCTACAATCGGGCCGAGGTCATGCAGAAGTCCTGCAGGTATGTGTACGTATTGCCGATTTATTCTCACCTCGAACTCGCTCTGTTCTCTCTCGTTGCTGTTTCTTCTCGTTAACTGTTCTCGTTGTTCTGTGTTCTGTGTTCTGTTGTCGCTGTTTCCATCAGTTTTGCTCATCTTATTACTCCATTAAGAGGAGGTCTTTTGGACACAATTCTCTTCAATTATTTCTTTCATTTTCCATCTCCACCCACGCAACTCTTTCATTGAATATCTGTTTTACTTTTGCTTTCATCTCTATTAGCGTTGCATGTTCATTTCGTGTGTGTAAATATCAGCTTTCCAGCGATGCTGCTCAAACTGTAAGCTACTTAATCCCACGGGCAGAGGGAGAGTGGATAGGTGGGTGCAGCTGCCAGCTAAGAGGATTGCCAGCGACTGAGAGAGCTTTCTGCTGCGACGCCTCCTACACTCGTCGCACAAGCTGACTCCATGGATCCTGCTTCCGTTCACACTGTCTGTCTATCCTGTCATTAACAGGATGCTTACGCACCTTGGCACTCTCCCCTTCCCTTGCCCTTGCCCTTGCCCTTTGCCTGACCCCATTACAGCTCCATCCATCTTTGGGCACGTTCAACTGCTTAACGGCTTATCCCCAGCTGGTTTGCTGGCGAACAATGAATGTAAAGTTCATTTGATTGTTTTTCGTCTCTTCCTTTAATTAATTTACCTTTTATTCCCGTCCAGCCATTCGAGGCAACCATTAAAAACCCATTGTCGAACCTTAATGCACTTTGCAGCTTAATGCAAATTGACTGGGGCTGCTCTCCGTTTGAGTGGTCTTTGTTGAATGCAACAATTAGGGCAGCTGCAACAGCTCTGCGAAGGTCGAGGCATGCAGCTCCAAAGGAAGAGTTTCCCCTTTCATAGTTTAAGGTTTTAGTGGGTTTCGTTTTGCATTTCGCTTGTACATTCCAAACTGGATCCGACCTCAAGCAGGACCTCTCATAAATCAACAAACGGGCCCACCCCAGAGGTGAATCTCTCCCGAGATTCGTGTGTAGTTTGCAGGCCCAAACACACACAAACACACAAAAGGATAGTGGCAGAAGGAGGAGGAGGATAGCACACCTCAGCACACACCACACACAGCTCACACACACTCTCGCAATCTCCCACTTTGCACTCTACGAAACTTGCAGCATCAGCGGGTGATTCCCCAGTGGCTTGGCCCCGAAAAACCATAAAGTTTTTAATGCCAATCTGCCGTTTAGCTAGAGATATGCACAAACCCCCCCCCCCCCCCCCCCCCCCCCCCCCCCCCCCCACCATCTCTCTCGCTCCTCTTTGCTGTCTCTTCCTCCATCTCTCTTCAAGTGGCAGTGTGTGCTGCTTTGACCTACTTTTGTTGTTCTGTGGCCGAGTGCGCCAAGGGAAAAACAACGAAAAAGATTAGCGAACAAAAGCCAAAAGGAAAACGAAACTCTAGCATAAACGTTGACCAACGAAAACTAAACTTGGGCAAGAGATACAACGAGCAAGAGAGAGATGGATGATAGTAAGGATAGTAAGCGGCAGAGAGAAGGCAACAGATATGTGGAGTATAAGCGGCTAAGTAATCGTTCCACCGATTCTTTTGCTGTTGGCTTGGCAGTCTTTACTCCCCGATAAATGCAGAAGTTTGCACTCATTAGCCCCCATCCACGCGAAACAGACAACTACTCCCGCGACCATAGACAAGTTTATTTGCTCCACTTTTAGTTTAAATTCGATTGGGGGAAACTTCGCCCTTCAGCAGCACTTGCCATATGAATTCTTTGATAGATGGAGCAGAAGCTTAGCTTAGAGGCAGACTGTTCCTTCTTCTGTTCATTGGCAACATCTGCAGCCCATCAAGCATCGAGTTGCCATGCACAAAACTTCATTTCGATCCAGGGACATGGCCAGGCACCAAATGGATATCCAAATTGATCAACTGCCGCTGTTGAGCTTCTGCGGAATTTTTTTGCCTTTCTCCCCATGCAATGTTTTTTTTTTTTGTTGCTTTTGTAACCCAATTTTGTGTTGTGTTTTTTTTTTTTGGCACACTGCACTGGCGGCGCGCTGAGCGGAAATGAGGCGCCCGCCGCTCTGCTCTGCCAAAGCCCGTGACGTCGCCGATTCGCCCTGAACATAGTTTGTTGAACTTTTGTCATGGCACACACACATGCACACACATATACACAACAAGCATAAAAGGGAGAGCAGAGCATTAACTGTTGTTCCACGCGTTCGCTCTTGTTCCGTTTTGTGTTTCATTACCGTTTCGTTTCGCTTCGTTTCGCTTCGTTTCGTTTCGCTTCGCTGCTTCTGCTGACGTCATGCCGGCATGCGATTCCCCGAAGCATGCAGCACATTTCGGACTGCAATTGCTGCACACACACACACACACACACCCAATGGATGATGATGATGCCATCGAGGGGATGTTGTTGGTTGTTCGCTGGAATGTCAAGCACGTTGCAAACTTTCCCAAGCAATCAACATGAAAAGAAGCAAAAGTTTCGCCGCAACCTACACCCAAAACACTGAGCATTAAATATTTACTTTTCATGGGAAATGATCCCAAAACGAGCACCAGCTATGCTCGGCCTTTGCCTAGATTTTCATAATGCATCGATTGGGCCTGGCCTGGCCATTAGTCATCGCTTACAGCCTTAAGTGTGTACCCAGAGACAAGCTTATTTCACTGCTGAAACTATTCAAAATATATTCCTGCTCTTCGACGAATGTTTACTTGGCCTCGGGCGAGCAGCATGGGAAAGTCCTCAGCTGGGCCAGCTCGTCACTTGGCATTTATTTTGGTAAACCAAAAACAAGAAGTTATTTTCCTTGCCCTGGAATGTACCGTACCTTTCATCCATTCAACCATTTATGCTTCCTTCCATTTGGCGTTTGGTTACGGCACAATTCAATTCACTTTGCCGTCTCTCCCTCTGAATGTTTTCTGTTCTTCTGTTTTTTTCTTTTTTGCACATTTCTGTTTGCATGTCTTAAATCTGTGTTTGTGTCTGTGTCTGTGTCTGTGCCTGTGGCATGCATCGTGCTTAAAGCTAACCAAGAATAATACCTCGTTTGCTCTTTCCATCTCTCCATCTCAATGCAGATGCGGCTTCATGTACGGCGAGCTGACAGACAAGGAGACGGTGGGACGGCTGGAGTATACGCTGGAGAACCAGCAGCAGGATCAATTCGAAATATTGCTCTACAAGAAAAACAGTAAGTAGCGAGTAGCGAGTGGCGAGTAGCGAGTAGCGAGTAGCGAGTAGACTCTCCTGTTAGTTGCAAGCTAAACCCAAATCCAACCCCTTATGTGGATTTTTGCTCGTTATAAATGGCTGCTTCATCTCTGGGTCCAACCCCACCTGACACACACACACACCACAGCCCACCGCTGTAACTTAATTTGTGTGTGCTCCCTCCCCCCAACCACTCTAATGCCAACAAATTGGGTCTGAGTGAGGACCATCCATCAGGCAGAGCCCACACCCACACCCACATGTGTAATCCCATATGGATATCCATAGCCCCGGCCAAATCAAGTGGAAGCAAGTGTAGGCTAGTTAGTCGTATTGCCAGAGAGATGTGACGCCTGCAACTGGCAGTGGCCAACTTATGAAATAACGCCTTCGAGTATCAATTTTCAGATGTGCAGTGTGGCTGTGCCCTCTCACAGTTTGGCAAGGCGCAAACACAAGGTACCAAGACCATCGACCACCCGCCCACCAATACTCCTCCTTCGTCCTGCTGCATCTCTGGCGGGGTCAGCGGGCAGTGGGCAGTGGGGTTTGGGTTGCATTAAGTATGCATAAATCAAGTGCAGCCACTGGATGGCTGCATCAACAGATGGAGGAACAACAGCCACAGATGGAGCATCCAAATCGGCAACTCAATTCATATTGAACACAATTCGGAACTAAAATGAGTTTTCACTCCAAGCACAATATTTGCTGCCAGTCTTATTGGATTCGGGCCAAGGCGCACAAACAAAAGCAGGAAGCTGCGGGAAATCGAACAGATTGAATATCGCTGACAGGTGTCTCTGGGGGGGGGTAGCCGACACCATTTTGATGTGCCAGCAGCAATAGAGAGAATAAAACTCAACAAACCAATCAATATTAATACTCGCCGAAACATAAACAGTGAGCGGAAATGAAAAGCGGAAACGCCTGCAAACACAGACAGACACACAGCTGCAGAGAGACACTCAAACCTCAATGCAAATCGAGCTGCAAAAGGGCTCACTGGCTGACAGGCTCACAAACAGTGATCGGAAAAGCATTAAGCCCGAACAAATCTCTTTTAAAAATGGGAAAAATTAGGTTACAGCTGAATTACGACCATGCCACGCACTGTACTCGCACGCCTGCTCGTTTATGCATGCAATTTGCATGGCATTCGGCATTCAGCACCCAGCAGCATTGCATTATCGAATGTTCCATACAAATAATTGCAATCCAATGAAATGTTTGCCCAAGCCATTCCCATTCTCATTCCGTGCTGTCTGTGGGCCCCTTGTGACCTGAATTCGTTTGGAGAACGCAATCGACTGGACGAGCATTATCATCCATCCATACAGCCCACCCATTATTATCATAATCCCCCATTGGGCGGGGGGGGCTTATGGACAATTGTTGTTAATTTTCGCCTCTTTGTTTCGTTGCCGCAGAGACCCCACTATGGCTGCTGCTGCAGGTGGCGCCCATACGCAACGAGAGGGATCTGGTTGTGCTCTTCCTGTTGACATTCCGGGACATAACGGCCCTCAAGCAGCCCATCGACAGCGAGGACACCAAGGGAGGTAAGTGCAGATGTCAAATGTCACACACACACCCGACCGATGCTAACTACATCTATGTATGTATGTATGTATGTATGTTTGTACATAGATGTATGTGTGTAGCATTCGATGATTACAGTTTTCTGTACAGTTTTCGATCTTCCCGCTCCAATCTCTCAATATCTGTTGGGGGAAAGGGCAACCATTCCGTTGCACTTTCTTATCACTCTACTGTTCTGCTCTTTCTTTCCATGTCTACACACACATACACTTGCACCCCGCACACACACACACACACACACGCACACACACATGTATATGTTATGCTTACACAAATTGAACAAATTCAATTCAACAATTCAACAACAAAAACAAAACTCAACGAAAACTCAACAACAATATGAAAAAACAAAAAAAACCCAATTCGATCTGCAAAAACAATCGATCGTGTATCGTATAACGAATATCGTATTGTATATCGCATAATCGTATATCGTCTATCGTCTATCGTTTATCGTTTATCGTTTATCTCTAACTCTATCTCTGCCGTTACTTTGTTTTCTTTTTGTTTTTTGGTTTCGTCTCGCTCTCCGTTACGATCTCTCCGTTACGTTACGTTACGTTACGTTACGCTCTCTTGGTGTCTGTGTGTCGATGTTGTCATCCATTGTAGCGGTTAATCTATTTTTGCCAGTTTTAGGTCTCTCCAAGTTCGCCAAGTTGGCTCGCTCGGTGACGCGAAGCCGCCAATTCAGCGCCCATCTGCCCACGCTGAAGGATCCCACAAAGCAGTCCAATCTGGCGCATGTAAGTACATCCATCAATCCATCCATCCATAAATGCATCCCTCTACGACTTGTACACTGCAGATGATGTCACTGAGCGCGGATATTATGCCACAGTACCGACAGGAAGCGCCGAAGACGCCGCCACACATACTCTTGCATTATTGTGCATTTAAAGCAATTTGGGACTGGGTGATATTGTGTTTAACATTTTATACCGCCATCATGGTGAGTAAGAGTCCATCGATAGCCCTCATTCCTCCGCATTTGCTCAACCATCGGCCATCAACTCTGTTCTTTGATCTTCTCCAATTTGCCATCCAAACTCAATATATCCAAAGCACTTTGGACTCTTGTCTGCCGTCAGGAAGATGTTAACATTTTCGCTTGAAATTGTGCTCAGCCGAAGTTGGCTCCGGAACCGGATGGGATCCCAGCAGCACCCCGTGGATTTCCGGTTTTGCTCTGCAAAAACCCAAAGTTGGTTGTTGTTTCAGTGTTTGGGTGGCACAACATTTTTGTTCGCTCATTGTTTAATGATATTCTGCGGTTCGAACTCCACTTTGCCGCCAGACTTCTTCCTCTATTCCTGACTGAAACTTTAGGGTATTTTGGAGAAAATGCCACTAAGAAGCTGACTGAAATAAAATGTGGAAATCTTGTGGAAATTCGATACATGCAGACTTAATTGAGGTTCCCGTTTAATTGCTGCTGTTAGTACCCAGAAAATTTGTTCCCATAAATCCTGAAATATGCCTGAACGGCTGATTGTGTAAGAGGAGCTTCAAGCAAAGTTTCAACTTGCATAAAATTCACTTTTCTGGTATCTTTGCCGTACGGGGGCTCGGCTCGAGTGCAAGTCGAGGCATCAGATAATGCTTTTTGCCAGACATTAGTGTTGAGGCTGAGGCAGGGGCAGACACAAGTGTACACATTTACATGACCAAGTGGCTGCTCAGCCCCACTCGGAACACCAGGCTCTAGCAGCCCTTTCAAGACACCGAGCTTTGCGGGAGGTTGTTATGTTTTATGTGCTTAAATTAATATGCTCAGCTCAGGAAGGGAGGCAGAGCGAGAGACGTGTGTAATCCAAGCAGCCCGGCCCGGCCCCGCCCGTCGTGATAAGAGGCTTATAACTGACACTTGGGGCAACAGTTGAGAAAGCAACAATGGGCCAACTGTTGCGCCTGCAACGCAGAATCAGTGCTGCGAATAATCTTCACAGAGTAATTCCCCCACCCTGCATCCGTACATCACTTCAAACATCACTCAATGGGCTGGGATAAACCTGTAAACCTTTTCCCTTTGATCGCCTTAATTGGCTTTGATTTGATTTGATTTGATTTGATTTGATTTCGTTTCAGGTGCCATACAATGTAGCGTTTAAAAATAAAACCTCAGAGGATGTTTCCCTTCTCGTGGTCGACTCGATAGTCGATGTTATATTCTTTATAGATATTGGTAAGCATCCCTAGGCAGACAACTATCACTATCACCCATCACTGTGCTCTTCCACTTGCGTGCTTTCAGTTTTAAACTTCCACACCACATTCGTGGGGCCGGGCGGTGAGGTGGTCAGCGATCCGAAGGTGATACGAATGAACTACCTCAAGTCGTGGTTCATTATCGATCTGCTCAGCTGCCTGCCGTATGATGTCTTCAATGCGTTCGACCGGGACGAGGATGGCATCGGGTCGCTGTTCAGCGCCCTCAAGGTGGTGCGCCTGCTGCGCCTGGGCCGTGTGGTGCGCAAGCTCGACCGCTACCTCGAGTATGGTGCTGCCATGCTGATCCTGTTGCTCTGCTTCTACATGCTGGTGGCCCACTGGCTGGCCTGCATCTGGTACTCGATTGGGCGCAGCGATGCGGACAATGGGGTAGGTGGTGTGGCGTGCACACCCGATGCGGATCGGATCGAAGGATAATCCTTTTTTTTGCCTTTTTCCCCGCCCCAAAAGATCCAATACAGCTGGCTGTGGAAGCTGGCGAATGTGACGCAGTCTCCGTACTCGTACATCTGGAGCAACGACACGGGGCCAGAGCTGGTGAATGGGCCGTCGAGGAAGAGCATGTATGTGACGGCCCTGTACTTCACCATGACCTGCATGACCTCGGTGAGCGGGGCGAGAGCCCTGAGCGAGAGCTAACCAGCTAACCGCCCAGCCAAATGGCAATGCAACTCAACTGTCTCTTCGTTTATCTCTGCCCATTCACAGGTTGGCTTTGGCAATGTCGCCGCGGAGACAGACAACGAGAAGGTGTTCACCATCTGCATGATGATCATTGCAGGTGCTGTGTCCTTAACACGTTCCGTTGCCGCGTCCAAAGTTTCTGAATACCCCCGCACACGCGTCACGCTTTTAAATAGAACTCGATAGACCGATACAGTTCTCGATTCTGTGATTCCGATTCTCGCAATCATTTAAAAGCTAAGCAATCTATTTGCGCCGCTAGAACTAATAAACTGCTCCAGTTGGTACAGCCTCATTCAGCCACACAGTTTGTCCACACACTCTGTATGTCCATGTCCAAGTCGTTACTCGTCACTCGTCACTCGTTAATGTAATCTGTGCAATCGTTCCACTTCATCCCCATTCCCTTCCTTCTCGCCACTCTCTGCACCACTGCACGGGCGCAGCATTCAATGAACCCAAAGGAGGCAACAACCTCAGCGAATGCTGTGCCTATGCAGTCCCCTGCAGCATCCCCCCTGGCTCTTGCTCTCCTGCATTCCATTTGTGTGCTAGTCCAATCTGTGGCATTTATTAACGTTCTAGTTGCGCACCTGTGCGTCTTTACTTTCTTCACAGCGAGTAGTTGAATCAGCGATAACTGTACACTGCATATGCATATGTGTTGCGTTCGCATCTCACACCCGACACCCGACACCTGAGACCTAAAGTGTCTCGCGGCTTACTCTTAATCCCTACACTCTGTCTCTATCTACTCTCCCCACCTATTGATGTACTTTTGGTTGCGTTTACAGCTCTGCTGTATGCCACAATCTTTGGTCATGTGACCACAATCATACAGCAGATGACCTCGGCGACGGCCAAGTACCACGACATGCTGAACAACGTGAGGGAGTTCATGAAGTTGCACGAGGTGCCCAAGGCACTCAGTGAGCGAGTGATGGACTACGTCGTCTCCACGTGGGCCATGACCAAGGGTCTGGACACCGAGAAGGTGAGTAATTCGTAGTGCGTTCACATCCAGCAGTGGCCGGCTCATGCCTGCTGGCCATCTACATATACGGGAGACTCCCCCCCAGAGCAGTGGCTGTTCTGTAGCTCCAACGAAAGATCCTAGTCTCAGGGGTTTTACAGCAAGCATTTAGCTCCAAGCTCCCATCCGACTGAGAGTGGATTCTCGATGTTAATAAGTATTGGGCAAGCGGGTCAACGCTGTAAATGCTTTAGCTAGCTCAATTTTATGGCCTAGAGCACTTCAAACTATCACTTTATCTAAAGCACACTCGGCATACACACACACGCACACGGTAATGCTTACATTATGCTGTCGCTACTCGTTACTCGTTACTCGCCAATCGTTGCTATCATCTATGCCTCCAGTTCTCTAGGACTTTCGCACACTCTTTCTAGTTCGTTTTACGCTTAATTTCCATGTTTGGTTTTCACACTCGTCGCCGCTTTCTGGCTCACAGTTTAGCTCTCACTCGCTACTCGCTAGTCTACATGGTTCACATACACGAGACACACACACATACATATTATCACACACACTCTCTCTCTCTCTCTCTCTCTCTCTCTCTCTCCTTAACTCTCTGTCTAGTACTCTCGATAGATCCAGCTTGGCGCTGCTTTCTCGCTTTGCTTTCCATATTATTTCCGCTTCTCGCATTATTAGGCCTAAGTTCAGACCAACAAAAACGCTTTTGCCAGGGACTAGTGGGCTCTGCTTTGCCCAACAAAAAACAATTCGTATTCATACTCGTTAACTGTTTGAGAGCCACAAACCACCACCCACAGATGCAGGTGCGAGGTAAGCTGTGTCTGTGGGCCATCATCTAAGCTCTCTCTCTCTCTCTCTCTAACTCACTGTTTACTGTAAACTAACAACCATTTTTGACAACAACTTTAGCTAATCGATCGAAATCTGTGTTCTCCACGTGTTTGTGTTTGCCCGCGAGCGAAATCCGGGCCAAAACGAAAAGCGTCCGTCAAATTCATGCCTTTAGATGAACTTGAACCAAACAGCGCAGCGCCCCCTAGCCACAGTCCCCCACAAACCCTAAACCTCAATCCCAGTTATCCCCGTTATCCCCTCCTCTGGGATGGGGGTGCGTGCGCCCATCAGATCTGATATGAAAATGCGTTTGGTTCAACTGATAACGAGAGTTTACCCAACCAATCGAATGCCAAATAAACTGACCTTTATACCTATTTCGTTGACTGTAGTTTGTGCCGCAATTAAGTTCTCCCAAACCAACTGTCCCTCCTCCTGAGGCCCGCATGGGCTCAGCTGCTTCTGTGGGGTGAAATCTCCAAGAAGCAGCCCCAAAAAGCACTCTACACACACACACACACACACAGACAGACACACACACACAGTCACAGCAACTCCCACACACACAAGCACACACACTTGTTAAGTATTGTATGTGTGTGTGTATTAGTGTACGTGTTCGTGTGTGTAGCCAAGCGAATCTCAGGGGACAATTTCGGCTGCCCGGTTGCCCGGCTATTAATATTTGATAGAGAATAAACTCCATGAAGAGGTGCCACAAATGGCAGTCGATTGGTACTGCAGATACCCTTTAATTCGATTCGAAGTTGGTTCATTGATTCAGTGGGCAACCGGCGCGGGGCCACCACAGAGAGCCCACCCCTTAGTCACACAAGAACCCACAGCCACAGCCACAGCCACACCCAGAACCCCAGGCCAACCCGAGCCAAGCCAATCCAATCCAATCGAATCGAATTCAATTCGAAGTGCAAACCCCAAACCCAATGAGAGAATGCCACTCGCAACTCATTCACAATTCGCAGGTACTAAACTATTGTCCGAAAGATATGAAGGCTGACATATGTGTTCATCTAAATCGCAAAGTATTTAACGAGCATCCGGCATTTCGTCTGGCCTCGGATGGTTGTCTCCGGGCTTTAGCGATGCACTTCATGATGTCCCATTCGGCGCCAGGAGATCTGCTCTACCACACCGGCGAGAGCATCGACAGTCTCTGCTTCATAGTGACGGGCAGCCTGGAGGTGATACAGGACGATGAGGTTGTGGCAATACTGGGTAAGCTCGCGCTGCAATTCGATTCCCAATGTGTGACACTCTCGTCTGTCGATTGCATTTTGCAGGCAAAGGCGACGTCTTCGGTGATCAATTCTGGAAGGACTCGGCCGTTGGCCAGAGCGCGGCCAATGTGCGCGCTCTGACCTATTGTGATTTGCATGCCATCAAACGTGATAAATTGCTCGAAGTCCTCGATTTCTATTCGGCATTTGCGAATAGCTTTGCACGCAATCTGGTGCTCACCTACAATCTCAGACATCGACTGATTTTTCGCAAGGTGGCCGATGTGAAGCGCGAAAAAGAATTGGCCGAACGGCGTAAGAACGAGCCGCAATTGCCCCAGAATCAGGACCATCTCGTGCGCAAGATCTTCTCCAAGTTCCGCCGCACGCCCCAGGTTCAAGCTGGCAGCAAGGACATTGTCGGTGGCGGCACGGGCTCAGGCCAGAGCGATGTCGAGAAAGGTGACGGCGAGGTGGAACGCGTTAAGGTTAGTGCAACTCTTTCCTATCTCTCTCTCGTTCTCTGTGTTCTCTCTCGCTGTGCATTCTGCTTTCGATGTGTTACTGTACATGCTTTTCGTTATCGTTATCGTTATCGTTATCGTTATTGTGAACTTTATTTTACATAATTTCTTAATGATTAATCCTTGCAGTGGGATGCACTTGGATGCTTGAAAGTTATGATTTACTTATAGTCCCTGTCCTTGCCTTTCGTTTGCACTTCTGTTTTCGCCCAAGTTTGTGTTCGTTCTGTGCCGCCTTTCCTGTTAACCAAGTAATCAAACTAACATCTCTTTCGAAGCATTGTCGTTGGCTAGCCACAAATTACACAAAAAGCTCCAGCCACAGCCACAGCCACAGCCCCCAGGCGATCGGCGGACACAAGCGCAATCCGCAAAAGCCATCACCAGATGTGGCCGAGAGTGGAAGCCACCGCTGTGGCTGGGTGTGTTGAGTTCTAGTTATAATCGTTCAACTCGCTTAACCAATACTATTTACCAATGATGTGACTTGTCTTACCAGTGACTTATGCTCGTTGTGTGTCTTTCTCTGTCTTTATCTTTGTCTTTCTGGACCATGCTTTCTCGCATAACTGTTTCCACTCACACGCCCACACGCCACGCCACTCGACCACAAAACTCACCACACGCTGGATAAAACCAACTCACCATTACACATGCTTTGCCACCACACTGTACCGTCTCTCTCTCTCTCTCTCTCTCTCTGTCTCTACATCTGTCTCCATCTCTGTTCTTTACATGTTGCATTTGATTTCTGCTGTACAAAATTGATTGTGAATTTGGCTGAATCGAGAACACCTTAAACCCAAATTGAACTCAATTCAAATTACTAACGGAAAATTCTATATTATTTCCCTCTGCTCCACTCACACACACAAACAAAACTCTGCCAAATGAAACCCCGAAACTCCTTTCCCACTCGGCGACTTCCTCCTTGCTTTCCCAACACACTTTTTTCTCCTTTCTCTCTCTCTCTCTCTTCCACTCTCTATCGATCTTTTTTCTCATGTCTCCCCGCTTGTTCGAAATAAAAATATGACATAAAAAATGCTCGTTAACAACAATCAAACAACATATACAAGAAGCTACCAGCCAAACTGACATTAACCGAGGACTCACGCATCCTAACGACCGCCGCCGTACCATCACCATCGCCATCACCCTCGCCCTCATCGGGTCCACCATCTGCGCGGAGTACCCGTGCCAGCAAGTGGGGACGCCTTCTGGGCAGTTCAAGCGTCGATTCAGCTAGCGACACCAGCGCCAAGGTAGCCGTCTCGAGAAGTTTGAGCGCCCGCGAGAGTCTCCGTGAGAGCACCGCCCAGGCGCGGCAGAGTAGTACTTCGAGTAGCAATGGTGGACAAGGCAACAAAGTAATTACCGTTAATCTCGCTAACCCCTTAACCGCTCAAAGCGCAACACAAACAACACTCAACACACAACCAAAACCAAAACCAATTCGAAGATGCAGTTTTCTATAATCCATATTTTAATTGCTATTTTCTTGGAGTCGTTTTTTTATTTAACAATCCGTGAACACACAGAAAAGTCAACACACTATAAATATATTCGATGGTCTATCTTGGGTTCCCATTATTAATAATGATAACTGTGTCTGTCTCTTATTTTTTGTGCCATTCCTTTTGCTCTGCCCCATCCGATTAACAAATCGATTAACAACGATTTCGATTGCGCGACTCGCTACTTCTTACTCGCTCATTTTGCGTTCATTGCGTTAACTGCTAATTTCCGATCAACCATTGACTGTACAATTGTGCAATCCAAATGAAAAGCATTTACAATTAAGCAAAGTAAGTTCTCGAACAATTAGTTTGGTTTTTTTTTTCAATGTTATGTTAGCTGGCTTACCCACACTTGAGCACAAAAATTGACAGCGAGGGCGGGCAATAATAGTGCTTGCTGATTTCTGGCACCATTTTTCTCACTACTTAAAAGCAGTGCCGTAATTTGTAAGTAAATATTTTGATGGCTTCCATATTTATGGAACTCTTCTGCTGCTCAATCGGTGGCAATAGTATGGAAATTTCTAAATCTAAATGCCAGTTTTTAGACCAACTTGCAAGTAGTTGGCCATGTCATGTAGTTGATATTTTAATTGTCAGCTATCGCAGCTAATTACATGTTTCAACCGCGATTTGGCCCGCCCCGCTCAACGCTCAATTGTAATTGTAGTGCGCTTAGTGATGAGCCCCACCCAAGCACCAAGCAAGCCCCTCCCCCACACTCACAGCCCAAACACCTGCCTTTAGACTGAGTACTGCCAATAATGATTCTAAAACTCAATTGATTTGTTTTCTATTCCTCCGTTTATCGTTGACACTTTCTCTCTCTCTCTCTCTGTCTCGTGCAAACACCAAACAAAATAAAATAACTAACAAAAAAACACAAACAACTGCAACGATTGAAAAATGCTTCCAAATTGGGCTTCAAATCGATCGAACCACTTGCTACTCTGTAACACAACCTGCCACCGATTGGAAACGAAATTTTGCACCAACTCTGCCTTGCACATTGCAACAATCCAAATATGCAACAACAAACTTTCAACAACCAACAACCAACACCAACCCAACAATCTGAATGAATGCTTCAACAACAACAACAACGAAAAACCCAAAAAAAACGAAAACAACTTTTGCAACTAACCCAAAAAACAAAACAAAAATATCAAACTTAAATCGAAAAAAAAAACAAAAAACAACCTAAACACTTTTCTCACTTTTCTCCTCCTCCTCCTTCTCCTCCTCCAACCGAACACAACTGTACCTCAACCTCAACCCTAAATCTCTGCCTCAATCTGCTGCCTGTTACTGTACCTAACCGAACCTCAATTACCTGTCCTACGCCTTCGCCTACGCATCTGCATCCGCATTGGCATTGCCACCTGCATCCACATCGTTCCATTAAACGTCACGTTCAGGTTTTCCCAAAGGCGCCCAAGCTGCAGGCGAGCCAAGCGACGCTCGCTCGCCAGGACACCATCGACGAGGGCGGCGAGGTGGACTCCTCTCCGCCCAGTCGCGACAGCCGTGTGGTCATCGATGGAGGCGCAGCCTCCACAGCCACCGTCGGAGCTCCTGCTGCGGCGGCAGGAACAGCAGCGGCAGCAGCAGCGTCAGGAGGTGTCGCGCCAGTCGCAGGCCCGGGCTCATCCGGCGGAGCAGGCGGAGGCACTGGAGCCGTGACGGCTCTGGTGAAGGGAGAGCGAAATCTGGCCCTGGAGCGAGAGCGCCAGATCGAGATGGCCAGCTCGCGGGCCACCACCTCGGATACGTATGACACGGGCCTGCGCGAGACGCCGCCCACGCTGGCGCAGCGAGATCTCATCGCCACCGTCCTGGACATGAAGGTGGATGTGCGGCTAGAGCTGCAGCGCATGCAGCAGCGAATAGGCCGCATCGAGGATCTGCTGGGCGAGCTGGTGAAGCGGCTTGGGCCGCAGCAGGGCGACAACAGCAGCGGCCAGACGACGCCCGGCGACGAGATCTGTGCGGGCTGCGGTGCGAGCGGCGTCGCGGCAGGACCAGGGGCTGCAACTGGGTCGGGCTCGCCCACAACCCCGGCGACAGTGACGGTAACCACGCCCGTGGACACTGTGATAACCATCTCATCCCCAACGTCAGCAGCGGGACCAGGGGCTGGAGCTGGAGCTGGCGCTGGCGCTGGCGCTGGCAGCGGTCTACTAAATCCAGGTGCCCCGGTTGTGTCGAGCGCGGGAGGCAACGGCCTGGGGCCACTGATGCTCAAGAAGCGACGCTCGAAGAGCAGGAAAGCACCGGCGCCTCCTAAGCAGACACTCGCCTTGGTCGGCGCGTCAGCCTCAACGACCACAACTCTGACGGGCGCCGCTGGATCTGGTACGACGAGCGTGGCAGCGTCAGCATCACCTGCAGCAGGGGCAGGCTCTCCCAGTGGTGCCTGCCCCACGGAGCTGCTGCACCTGCGCCTGCTCGAGGAGGACTTTACGGCGGCCCAGCTACCGCCGCCGTCGACGCCGGCAGCCACGACTCCAACATCGCTGGCCACGCCCCCAGGCAGCGGCACGCCAGCGGCTGGCAGTGCCGCCACCTCGCCCACGGGGCCGCCACCCACGCTGCCCACGCCCACAGGCAGCAGCGGTCCAAGGAGCGGCAAGCGAGAGTTCCTCTAGCCCAAGATTCTATTGAGGCATCAGTCTTCGGCTTCGGCTTCGGCTTCGGCTTCGAGCTCGGCTTTAGCTTCAGCTTCCGCGGAGAGCAGCAGCAGCAGCATGGAGCCATAAAGTGGAGAGGGAGAGCAATCCGCAATCCCCGCCATTGGCTTAGTTAGAGACTAAATTCTAGTATATATATTAAGATGATAATGCTGTAACCTGTAACCTCAAGAGCTAGACTAACCTACAAACAAATGCTCACAGCTCCAACATGAATCTATCTGTCTCTCTCGCGCTAATTCTATCTCTCTGTCTCTCTCGATATAAGAATATCCTCTCTCTCTCTCTCGCTTACACACACACACACACACACACACACACACTGAATGGAAGTGCTCGATACTTGATATTCGATACTTTTAGCCCATTAGCCGATCCGCGATGATTAGCCATAGCGATAGGCATAGAGACTAGAGTTAATGACTACGATTAAGGCAAAGCATATTGCTTACGATTTTGCTACATTTACTGCAATTATTTACCTTTATATACACGGATATACTAGAGAGGGATACTACGTAGATGAAACGTCACAGGATAGACCAGATGATTACGGTTAGTTGTACATATATAGAGATGGATTTAACTTTGTGATAACTGCTGAAGTGAGAGGCGACGAAGTGAGTGTGAAAAGATCGAACCAGATGCCCGTGAATTGTACATAGCATAGCATCCCATACCTATCCATAGTCATAGTCCAGCAGCACCTGCACACAACACCTGCACACCCCAGAGAGAGCTGGATTGATTGTACATGTACATACTCGAGTGGGTATCTAGCCCGTCCTGTAGCTTAACGAAACGCAGCACTCGCACCACTCGCTTGGCTTTGCCCCGGTCACGGCCCCCAACTAGAAGGTGGAGCTACACTCACCAAAAAACCAACACTAACAAAATAAGTTGCGACAATCGACAGACCTAAGACGAGAAAATAAGAAACTACATTTTAAACTCTTAAAACTAACAAGAAAAAAGAACAAGAAAGCAGAAACATTTGTATAGAGCTTGTAAATACTTGTTAATGCTCTTCGTAAGCACTACCCACTTCACCCACAACCTACACACATATTTTGTGATACAAATTAGCTGAAAATAGTACCCAAAAAAATAAATGTATTTGTTAACGCTTTTATGCCCGAAGTGCAAGTGCAAAGGAAGAGTTGTTAGCGAGTCATGCTGGATACGCGCATGTGGCATAAGGCCAACTACAATATAGAATGGTAGTACGGATGAAGATACAAATATACAAATACTTATAGAGGTGTCTCCTGAGCAGTTGAAGAGGCAAAGGTTTCATTACGTTTAAGTCGCCGGCGTCGCAGTTCGTTCTGTTCCTGTTTGAGGTTCGATTTTGCATAGAGATCTATAGGGCAGCAGTAGCCCTGATCCCTGATCCCTGATCCCTGATACGAACTGTCTTCCTGCAATTGCTGTAGGTCCGTGGGTATTGGGGGGTATTGGGCTGTCTGCTGCAACTACGATGCTCGTAATAGTTACTTAGTTTTAGTGTGATTAGTAGTTTTGTTCGATTACTTCGACAGCATTTTAAATCTGAAATCATCAAATCAAAAAGCAATTCAAGTGGTATTACATTTTGACTAACCAACACACCTACACCTACACACACACACACACACACACACGCATATACATATATATAGTTCAAATACTCCAAAATGAATCAAAAAATGTAAGTAGGAATAGCAGAAAACCAATTTGTTGCATACGCTTAGGGCGCCCATTTCTAGTCAAAAGTTGAACGAATGTTGGCCACAGCGGGGTCCAACTGTACATAGATTTTTTTTTATATATAATCATAGATATTTGTAAAGACTAAACATTTATTATTAGGCAAAACAGAACTAACTAGAAGCAGCTGGATAGGAAAGGAAAGGAAAGTGAAGTGAAGGAAACTAGACATCGGTCTGACTTGTGTTGATAAATTTATAGAGCCCTTAGCTTAGTATTTCGATGTCATTTTCTATAGATCTTAGACTGGAATTTCGAGCTCATTCAAGGCTTCCTCTTCCCCTACATCTCCCACTTGTTATCGTTTTCCCAGTCGCTTCTGACTCTTGGTTGGTCTTTCTGTTGGGTGTCTATTAGATCTTAAAAACTACACAGAGCCTTATACATTTATGAAACAAGCACCTAGCCTAAAGCAACTAAAACCAACTCATGCAGAACTCAACACAGCTAAGCCCCTACCTATACCAACATTAACATTAACTTTAGCCTTAGTACTAAGCAAACAAAAAGGAAACGTTGAGAAAAGAGCAAGTGAGGGAAACTTGAGAGTAAAACTAATACCGAATGTAGGTAAGAAAGGTGCAATTACAATTTTTAGATCAAGCTAAGCGAGAAGCGAGCAATTTAGTCGAAATTTATATTGAACAATTTATATTCACATGTACGAGTGCGCATACCCACGACAGATCGGGAGTAGAAATATAAAAATCGCGAGTCTCACAAACCCACACACACATTCAGACAATGATGTACATACATAGAGGAAAAGCTCCACTTTACACACACACACACACACACACACACACACATACAAATGTCTAATGGTGATGTCCTTGCCTTCACTTTCGCCTAAAAAAACGCCCCAATTCAGTCTGATATATATATATATAAAGAAGGAGAGACGGCAGACGAAGGTCCGTTCAGTTCAGGTCGGTAAGAAGAGCCAAAGAAACTGAAGTATACTGCTTGCTCTTCAAGATTACCTCTAGTTATACCTAGAACGAGAACGAGAACGAAACAACCTAACAAAATTAAGCTTTTATACGCCAGAATTTTTTTCTAAGAAAATACTCAAGAATATACATAAATAAACATAACAAGAAAAGAAAGGAAAAGAAAAGAACAAATAAAAAAAAAACAAAAACAAAAGCCAGAGAAGAGAGAATACGCCACTCAATTAAAACAAAACAAAAATACCATAAATGAAATTAATTTAATTATACAATTTAAACCAAATAGGTAAAGAATGTTATACATACATACATACATACATACATAGACGAAAGCCTTAACCCAGAAAAGAAAAAAAAACAAAAGAAAAGAAAGGAAAGAAAGAAAAATATTACTCGCCTCGCCTCGTTTTGTTGTTTGTTTTTATTCTGTAAGTTCCACAGCAAAGCTAAGCAAAAGCAAACCAAAAGTACGAGTACGAATACTAAATATACCGACAAAATACCAAACAAGCAACTAACTTAGCATTATGCTCTAGATTCTAGAACAAAGAACCAAAATTTTACAACAAGAACAAAAGCGAGTAAGCAATGTCAAACATTTTCCACCAATTTGAGAAGCATAGTTGTTAAAATACCTATAAAAATACCTATAAAAATACTGACAAACGATTTCGTACACGCGCCCTTTTGTTTTTAAAACGTCGTAAAGCTGCCTATTTATATATTTACAAACAAACAAACGAAAGAGAAAAAAAAAACCAATACAAACAAAAACTTAACTACAAATTAAACAAACAAAAAACAAAAAAGAATAAGAAAACCAAAAAAAACCGTAAAAAAAACGTACATATTAAAATAGCAAAATTCCAAGTAAAGTGAAAACCTTACAAAAAAAGTGAGCAAAGAGGCGAAAAGAAAAAAACAAAAAAACAATTACAAAATAGTTTGAAATCAATTGAGTTTTTATTACTTAGTGAATCGAAAGAGAAGGCTTTGTTGAATTAACACACACACACACACACACACACACACGAACATAGATATGGTACATGTGTGTGTGTGTGTGTGTGTTTACAGTTTAGCCCATTTGAAGCTTTCTAGGAATTCAGAGAAGAAACCCCAACAAATCGCATGAGCATAAATAGTTGTAACATTTATTTGAGTACCGATGGATTAATTCCTTTAATTAATATGTACAGTTACTTGATTAATGCCCTACATTAGACGAGCCCACACACACACACACACACACACACACACACACACACACTCCACACTCATATTTGAGGTTAGTAAAGATCGAGCGAATCTTAAAAGAAGCAAAAAAGGAGTAAAAGTAAACCAAGAATAATTCTTAATTTGCAACATTTGCAGAGCTCGCAGAACAGAAGTTAAAGAACACAATACGCGAATGAAACAAAGCAAAGAGAAATACATACATAAATGTTTTATACAAAAAAACTAAACCCCCATCAAATAATGTTCGGGTAAATGTCATTCCAGTTACGGTAAGTTTTTACTCCAAGAACAGCAGATTTTATTTGATGATAAGAGCCACTTCCACGGATTTTCCTCACCCTCAAGAGAGCCCAACAAGGCCAAATTATTGTGCCAATCATTTTGGATCATTTACATCAGTGTAGTTTCAGCTCAGCTCAAATGTCTGTTCCAATCAGACCAGCTCAAATTGCAATCACTGAAGCCAAAGCTCCAACACCATTCAATTAGCACGGGGCTGGACTTATGTGGATCCTCCATGCTCGGTTTTTTCAATACAATTGCCCCAGATGCATATCGTTTCGTTGTGTTTATTTAAATAGAGAGAAAAAAAACAGAAGATAGCAATGAGCTAGCTAATGACTAATGTGCCAGCGAACTACTTTTGTAAATCACAATTCAACTCGTAAGAATTTCTAGAGCAGGTTGAGTAGCTTCCACAGTCCACAAAGAGCTGCGAGTTGGAAGATCGGGGCTGCCAGGGCACTCGCGGAGTTCACTGGGGCGAAACCCAAACGATTGTTGCCCAAATCGAACTCCGTGTAGTAGCGGCCAATGAAGGTGTCGCCCAGAATCCAGAAATCAGAGCCTTCTATGTAATCGATGCCCAGCGAGCAGTCGTTATCCTCTTGCAAGATGTACTCCCTGGGCGGTATCTGGAAGGGTACACCGCTGATGGTGAATGTCAGGGTGGGCAGGCTGGGAATGGCAGCGCAGCTGACTTCCTGGCTAATGTAGGAAAGGATCATCAGGTAGATGTCGTAGGGAGCAATGAGCAACGAGCTGCCCGTATCGGCCACTGCCAGGCAGTTGCTGCACAAGGTGTTGCTGCCCATAGTGACGGCATCCATTTGGAACTGCCAGTAGGTCTGGCTGGAGACGGGAGCATAGACGAGATTCCCTACATAAAGCGAGGCATCGGAGCCGCCCAGGATGAGCTCTCCTCCATAGCTCACCGCCTGGGTGCCGTTCGTTTCCAGGTAGAAGGAGAACACGGGCGCATCCACCAGACTCTGATTTAACAGATTGTAGAAGGGCGGCTGCACCCCGTCCACGGCCAGACTGGAGTAGCCCATGCCGAAGATGCCGTCGAACGTGGCATCGCCCATGCTTGTGCCCGTTTCAGCTGTGGCCTCACCGAATGTTTGTCCAACAATTTGTAGGCCAGCGACGGTCACCACATCCGTGGAGAGGATTCCCGACACGCTGCCCGAGCCATAGGTGATGGAGAAGGCGGTCCCATTGGCCTGATACGTGGTCGAATCACCGGAGAAGTACTGCCGGTGATTGAAGCAGTCCAAGCTGAGGCAATTCACGCTGGGAATCCACAGATTCGCAGATCCCGTATCGAACTGCACCATGAAAGTCTGCGGCGGCGTTCCGATGCTGATGCTCCCGAAGTACTGAAAATTCATCAAATTTTCCAGGCTCTCTATGGAGTAGTTTGAGGCGGTGGTGCTGCTGCTGCTGCTGTTGGTGCTGAGACTACTCTGCACTGGGTTATACTTCCTCCAGATATGCTCCCGTTCGGCTATGATGCTTTGGCGGGTCCGAACAAACTTCTCCGAGCGGCGCACGGGTATCCGATGCATGGCGGCGCATGCTCCTGCCACCAAACCCAAAAGGGCCAACAGAACTAACGTCTTGGAATGGGTGTTGGTGCTGGTCATGTTGCTTTCTCGACCAGCGCCGCTGTATTTCTGGGCCTTTATAGAGTCGTGAAGGCAATGGGCTTTTCGTTATCGAGTCGCCCCTTCCGGGAATCAATTAAATCGTTCCACAAATGTTCTTCAGATAACATTTTCATAATATTTGAAGACTTCAAAAACTGTTAATTGAACTACTGTCCCTCCAGAGCCAGTCTATTAGTGAGTCAATAAATTTATCTATGGCTTTAGATAGCGGAAAATAGATAAAAGCTGGACAATCATCAACGATTGCAAGAAACCCCCCAAGGAAGTTCGAAAAGTTAAGCAACCGAATCGAACAACCGAACGCTGTTGCGATTAAATTAAAAAAAATATTTATTTATGTAAATTGTGTGGATATTCAGTTACACTTTGTCAGACGGGGGTGTAAGGGTTCTGGCTCACAATTTACAGCAGAGCTCGGCAGCGTCATATGCTCTGTGCATAGGAAACGATCTCGGGCAGCGCAGTCGGCACCCTCAAAACGTAAAGGCTTCGTGTGGCCTCGGCCTATGCACGAGAACACACACAATTGCTCGGCTGCTCGCAGCGACAGAAAAGCAAGAAACGTTTTGACTTCGTGCCTGTTGTATGTGCATAAAAACGCACTAAAACAAAGGTGCGGAGCTTTCATGTAGCGGCTGTAGACATAGGGCAGATAGAGACAGAAAGCATGTCACAAGTATCGAGAGTCCAAGCTGACGCGATTGAAGTTCTCTTTACAACTGCTTGGGAACAAAGTTAAGTACTCGTTTCGGCTGCTCCATAATATAATCGGTATATTAAGTCCTGGGATAAATGCATTGCAATGGTTGAAATGTAAACTAGTGTGGTATGCACACAAAGGCAATACCCACTGTACCAAGAGTACTTAAGGGGCAACACACTGTAACACTCTGTTGCAGTGTTTATGCAATCATAAATATCTTGAGTGCGACGGTCAGACGATCGGACAAATCACGATCAAGTGCAACATGATCCGTTTGAATGTGCATGCATGCCCCTCGCGCCACCCGCTTTCAGCAGCGCTGGGCATATACACATGCGTACAAACATGCCTACCCATAGCCATAAAGCAACTATATAAGGAGGTCTCGTCGGAAAAAATTATGGAAACGTGGGAGTGAAAAGTGCGAGTGAAAGGGCTCTCGCTGTAAGTGTTAGGGCAACGACAATAGAGTGTGCTGATTAATCATTTGAAGGCAATGTGAAAAAAATATTAATTGTTTCATAATTTAATAATAGTAGTCTTTGTTCTGAAAAAATAAACATTTTGAAAAAATTTGAAAAAAAAATGTTGTCCGCAACCAACCTTCCGCGTCGACAGGCAAACGAGCACTGAGAATTGTGAAAAGCAGCGAGTAACTCTGCCACCGACGAGGCCTCCTTATATATGTAGTTGCTTTATGCCCATAGCAATGCGATCCATCGCTTATATATGTACAAGCCGATCGCGGAGCATAAGTACTCCAACGGAGTACTCGAAATCAAGCATTTTGCGTCTCATTATGAGACCTGTGTGGGCACCCGAAATGCCTTTGAGATCATCATGGGCCAAGATTCGACATTAAAAGGTATCCGAAGTCAACCGAGAATTTTCTGCACAGTTTGCCGAGAGAGCTACAGTCCGACTCTTGAGATTCGTAATTTAATTTCTGAAAAACATAAGAATGCCGAAGCTGCTCAACTAGCAGGCAATGAGAATGTAACACCAATAATCACGATCTGGAAATCGAAATGGAAATCGTATCGCGTGCACTCCAACAAGGGCGATCAGATCGACTTGCAGGAATTGTATAAGCATTGTAAAGAGGACTTGGCAAAAGTACTTCTTCACCATCTAAGTGAGTACGTGTCAGTGCGATTTGTTTTGAGAGTATGAGGACCGTATGTTAAGCAAACTGATGATGAAACCAACCTCGAAAACATGATACATTTCGCCACGTCATGCACTTCCCTTTTCGAAAGTGAATTGGCAAATGAAAAACTGGATCAAGCTCTCCTACATTTAGGAACATTGAGCAGTAAATTTCAGGAGCGCCAATGTGCGCCCTACAAATTTTTAAATGTTTTGAGCTCACAATAAGTAAGTTGAATAATGTACCTGGAGGTGGATTTATTGAAGCTCCGCCAGAGCTCTACATTTTGAAGCTCTAAATATATTAGATAGTTTTAGAAAACTGTACACCAAATATTGCATATACATTTATACATATAAAATACTCAACCTTTTTTTGTAATTGTATTTTAAATATAAGCTATAACAAATTTGCTGTTTTTACTTTATAGTGCAAACACATAAATCAACTAAAAAATATTGAGATCACCTCAAAATTCCTTAAAATATACATTTTACAGAGCACTTGCTGAAGTTAGGCCCACTGTCCCTAATATTTTTCACACGACTGTATTTACTTGCAATAACGGTAAAAATGTACAGCTATGAAAATCAGCGCACGACTACCTGCAGAGCCGTCGCGACGTTCCGAATGAAACCTTTTAAGAGAAAGAGAGAGAGAGAGAGCATTGGCGCATATGCTGCGCCCTAACGTAAGCCAAACACACAACAAAAGTAGAGGGAAGAGAGAAGACGCGAGAGAACGTTGCCCAGGCTGCTGCCGTGTGGGAGCTGTTTACATGCAAATGCATTTATACATATGTATGTACATACAATGCGGTAAGAGTGGGAAGTGCAAACCACAAACAATAATAAAGTTAGGCTGCACCGTTATGATGAAGCTGATGATAGAATTTGTTGGGGAGCATCAGCCTGGGATCGTATTCGCATACTGCGTGCTAAATTTATAATTAAAGTTGCATATATTCAAGGGATAAACTGCATTTGAAAATAGTATTATTCTAGAGGTAAAATGCTAATTTCGATAAAGAACGTTTACTAAAGATATATTTGTATATTTATATAGAAGTACTTACATTTGTAATAGCCTATTCGATCGAATCAGATCTGGCCATTCGAAATCTTTCGCAGGCTGTCGGACTCTGTAGCTCCCCCCAGTTGACAGAATTAATTTTTAGCTTAGCTTAGTACACTCCATAAAACAATCTCTCTATATATATATTTCGTAAGCTCAATTGTGTAGTCCTAAATACATCCAAAAACGAACTTAAAGACTAACTAAAGGCAGCTACAATGTCAGACAATATCAATACACAGAAGTCCCGCAGGCAGTATGGGGCCTGGGACAAGCCCGGCGTTTCCCTCTTTGCGGTCGTCAGCCAGGAGCCCCTCAACAATATGCTGTCCATGATGAAGCCGCTGCCGATGGGGAGCAGCGACTACGACAAGGACGCCTATCCCATGATACAGAAGTCTTCGGCTGCCGAGAACGCGGTCTATCGCGCCATTAAATTTCAGGTGGAGCAGCTGGCACTCAAGCGCAGATTGGAAATGAGTTCGATGGAGGAGGAGCAGCGCATCAACAACGAGTTACTACGGGCTCTGGTGCAGGAGCGCAAAGCCGAGGTTGTGGCAAAGAGTAAGCTGGTGCAGCTGCAGCGAAATGTGCCCGAGCTGCGCGACCTGCAGGTGGAGGTGAATGTGGCCACGACGGCGCTGAAGGTCAGGCAGCAAATGCTGGCAGAGGCACAGGCGCGAAGCGTCGACAAGCAGGCGGAGCGGGAGGAGGCCCAGGCCCAACAGCAGCAGGTGGAGCTGCAGGTGCTCAAGGAGAAGTTGGTGGCCGACCAGAAGGCCCACGCATACCGCGAGGCCCTAATTAATCAGATTGCGGAATCAACCGAGAAGCGCGAACGGAAGCAGCACGAGACCAAGGTGCAGGAGCGCCAAGAGCTCATCGATTACCAGAAAGAAATCGCTCTGGAGCAGCAGCAGGAGGCTGAGAAGTGGGCACAGAAGCGCAAGCAGCTCCAAGAGTCCCTCAATAAGACTTTCGCTCAGAAGCAGGCCACACGCGAGGCTGAGGAAAAGGCGAACAGGACCCGCCCTCAGCGTGGCATCCTCGACTCGTACGGCCCGACGACAGCCGCCTTCGTGGCCAAGGACATGAAGCGCCGCTCGGACGAGATGCAAGCCAGAGAGCTGAACAGCGTCCGCCTGGGCTTACAGCTCTGCAAGATCCAGCACGATCGAGATGCGCGCGACGAGCTCCTCATGGACCTGCTCGAGCACGAGTACAGTGTCAAGGAGAGCAAGCGGCACATGGAGCAGATGCTGGAGCGGCATGCCGAGTGCTATGCAAACCACGAGAAGGTGGGCAAGCAGCGCGAGGAGGACAAGTACTTCCGCGAGCAGCGGGCCAACATTGGCAACGACATTCGCCGCGACTCGACCTCCTTCGGCGAGCGCCAGCATCACATGTACGAGCATCGCATTGCGTCCATGCACAAGAAGAACGAGCAGTGCTACCACGACATGGAGCAGCAGGCCATGGCCAACGAGCAGCGGCGTAATGCCGATGCCGAGGCAGCGCGCAACATCGCCGCCACATGGGCCCAGCTGCAGGAGGCACAGGATGCTGCTGTGGGCCAGGAACGACTTCGTGTGCTGCGCATCCAACCCCAGGAGGTGCTCAATGCCATGCGGCCGTACATCTTCACTGCCAACGAGCAGAAGGTTCTCAATCTGGAGACAAGTAAACATATCTGAACACCGCCAACACACCCATTAAAGAGTTTCCTCTTACACCCCACAGACATTGCGGAGAGAGTTTGTTTTATTTTACACGTTTATTCATCGATTGATTCGCCTAATAACTAAATACATCTCGATTCGGATATGGTTGTGCTCTAGCCTAGGTGTGTGTGTCCATGGAGTGTCTCTTTCTGCAGAGACACTCTAGAGATAGGTATTTGGGGTTTTGCTTTTCGTCACAGCTCAGCTCTTGCGCTGCTTTTACCTCCAAGACGAAGAATCCTCGCTCCTCGATCCTTGACAACTTACAAACTAATAAATGCATTTCGCCTCCGGTACGTTTTCAACTTGTTCCAAAGTTTTTCTTTTGTTTTGTTTTGTTTTTCTTTTTTGCTTTCAATTTAAAACTCTTTTGAAGATGGTGGTTAATTTCCTGACTGGATTTTCGATACTGCTTGGAAGTAAAAGCGCAAAAACGTTGACTCTAACAAGCAACAAATTAAATGCAAACAAAAAGGAGATTAAAATAAAAACAGAATGGAAACAAAAATAGAGGAAATTCTATAAATATCATTCAACCGATTGGAATATGTACAATAAACAAATTGAATGGAAATCGATTCCATAAAATATAAATAAATAAATATACAAACTAAGGGCAAACATAATCGAATGTTATATAGACATCTATATAGGGTCAACCCCGCCTCAACTTATCGTTAGACATCGATTTATGTATGGTCTACAATAAATGCGGATAAATGCAAACGAAATTCGAGCATCCACGAAACACTCATTGTCCTCAACTAAATCCTACTAATACACAGTACAGGGGAAGGGCAAGGGAATAGGGATAGGGATAGGGATAGGGATAAGGGATAAGGGATTGGGCATAGGTATAAGGCATATGGTATATGGTATATGGGATAGGGAGACAACTGAACTGAGCTGCTTAATCAATCACCACCGACCAGGGATGATCCACACGGCCGTACTGAATGTCGGTGAGCGTCTCACGGATCAGCTCGTGCACGGGCTTCTCCTGCTCCATGGTGGGCACATACAGGTCCTGGCCGAGATAATTAATTCGATTGACGGGACTAACCACGCACGCAGTTCCCGCGCCAAAGAGCTCCAACAACTGAAAGCAAACAAAGAGAAAGAAAACCTCAATGAGATCCAGAGGTTCTGCGGGATGAATGTAATCATCTGTTTGCTTACCCTTCCCTGGTTGAGCAGCTCACAGACCATGGGCATTGTGATGTTGGCCTCGCTCACCTTGAACTTGCCCCACTGGCGGGACATGTTCAGAATGGAGTCGCGTGTAATGCCGGGCAGGATGAGGCCATTCAGTGGCGGCGTCACCAGCTCTTGTTCTCCCTGATCGTTCACGTAGAACATGAAGATGTTCATGGTGCCCACCTCGGTCAGCTGATGGTCTTCACCGTACAGCCAGAGCACCTGCTGCAGGCCCCGTGACGCTGCCTCCTTTTGCACATTGATCGTGGGAGCGTAGTTGGAGCCCATTTTGCGGTTGCCAACGCCGCCGGGCCAGGCGCGTGTGTAGGCGGGATCGGCCAGCAGGGAGACGGCACCCGTGGAGCCCGTCTTGAAGTAGCTGCCAACCGGACTGAGGATGGTGTAGAGCAGGGCAGAGTCCGAGGAGGCCACACCCAACGTGGGCTGCGCGAGGAACAGATCAAAGATTCAAAATTAGTTACTTGTGCCTTGTCCAGGGATCGTGCAGGAATACTCACATCGATGCCAATGAGTGTGGGGCGAATGTAGAGGCTGGCAGTGTCCGTGTGCGGCACCCACTCCGAGTCGATGGACAGCAGGCGGGACAGACACTGAACGAACTCCTTGCCCTCGAAGGTGGGCAGGCCGGAGCGCTGGGCGGCGAGGTTCATGCGGGCCATGTTCATGTCCGGCCGGAAGATGCGGATCTTTCCGTCGACACCCCGGTACGCCTTCATGCCCTCGAAGAGCTGCAACGAATCGATCGATCAGTCAGTCGCCTGATAAGACACCCTTTGGCAACAGCCAGCAGCCGCCACAGAGATCGCATGAGATGAGATGGTACGACGATGACGATAACGATAACGATGACGATGTTCGATGGCAATGGCAATTGAGATGACTCGACGTCAGCATAAATCACACACGTGCCGCTGCTGGATCAGCCAGAGATTACGGTACGGATGGATCGGATCGGATCGGATCGGATGAACGAAGGGTGAGTGGTGGAGCTGAGCCTGCAGTGGAGAGCGTTTGACACTTACCTCAACGGCGTAGTGCAGGACCTTGGCAGCGGGATGCATGACGAGGTTCTCCAGCGGCGTGATCTCTGGCTTCTGCCAGCCGCCTAGGCTCTTGTGGTAGTAGATCTTGAGCATGTGATCGGTGAAGAGGCGGCCAAAGCCAAGCTCCTCATCGTTGTCCGGCTTCGGCTGGAGCTGCTGCGGCGTGGCCAGTCGCACCGACAACTGTGAGGCCTTGAACTGATGGCCCAGATCCTTGTCGTGCTTAATGGGCTCCGGGGCATGTGTGTACTGTGTGTCCACCGAGGCGGTGATCTCAAAGTCCACCGAGGACTTTTGCTGCTGCTGCTGCTGGGCAGCCTGGGCGGCCTTCAGCGATTGGTTGCTGCATAGTCGAATGGAGTGGGCAATGAATTTGATCATTCGATGCTGATTGCGGAAAATATCCTGCAAGGAAGAACATGAAACGGCAGACGGTCAGAAAAATGCACACACGACCAGCTTGAGTGACTCTAATGAGCTAAATGATTGTATGCTAATTTGGGTCTAGACCCGAAATGATTTCGAAATTAATTTGCACCCCAAATTCAAATCCATTTTCGATTTGCATGCCAGTCCGTCGCCCTTGCCGATCGTCGGGTGTCATGTAACCCCAGAGGAAGCAACGAGAAGTCGTTCGAATTCTTCACCTGCCTCCATTCTGGGTCAGAGTTGTGTCGCTAATCAGCAGAGACTTCGGAGACTTGTTTTGCTGATCTCAAAGCTGATGAAATAACCAAAACTATCGACTAAGCCTCAGTCTCAGCCAATGCCAAAACTAGTCCAAAACTGCCGTAAATTGTCGCTTACATTGCATCAGCCGAGAGCGAAGCCAAATATTGGAAATGAAATAAAATACGCAGCACAAAAAATATACAAAATAGGGTTCAAAAACTGGTCGACTAAATGTCTGCCAGATCGAGGCTTATCACTCCCTCCCCCACCAGCCTTAGCCCACGATCTAACCCCATAGATTACGTCCGCGTCTGGAGTAGATAAGATGTCTCCATAAATGCCCAAAATAAAACATTTGTTCTATTTTTAATGGTTCTGAGAGTGGAATCAGTATTAATAAGTGAAAATACTTGTTACACTGTTGAACCGGATTTGATAGAATTCAAATTTGAAGCGGAGTGTCACTTGGAACAAGTAACAATAAAATATTCTCCTGAACTCCCAGTTCATTCACTTTATGTTATGGCACATATTTTATGTTCCAGTTTTGCTGCCGTTTTGGACATTGATAAAAAATACTCGTATCAGTCGAGTGCCGAGATTTGCATTTGGTAATATTTTTATGAATTCACACAAAGAAGAAACAACAACAGATTTCAGACTGTTGCTAAGTTAATACAAAATAAATATTAATTATGACTTGTCTGGGAACAAAATTAGCATTAGATGAGATTTCGATTGAGGTTCTGGGTTTCCAATGGCAGCATAATTTATGTATGCCTTGAAAGTATTTGTATAAATAATTCAATTAAATGTTGAATAATACTGTTTTTATTGATTTTTCTTTGAGTAATTCAAGAGTGTACAAACCTTTGCGTTTATTGCCATTTTGGTAGTCATGTTGCTGGCTGCGAACTTTCTTTCCCGTTTGCTCCAATCTCGCAGACTCTCTTTGATTCTTCTCTTCTCTTCGCGCTCTTTCGGCAAAGCGTCTTTGGCACTTGGTCAAACGGTATTTGAGTTTGATATTAAACGTTCACGTTGAGCCTGTTCTTTGCACTTTGTAACAGTTGAATTTCTTTATTGTTTCGCGTTCAAGGAATAGCACTTCACGACATTCACTCACACAGTAAAAAAATGGATATATCACAAAGTTTAAATATATTTAATTGAGTGTTTCGATATGCTTCGGTTCGCTTCTCGCACAACATGTGTGTCTGGACGAGTTGCTGCAATAAATGAGCTGCTGCCGCTGTGCGCTCCTCTATCTATAGCCGAAGCGGCGGCGGCCAGCATGTGGGTGTGTGCGTGCGTGTGTGTGAGCAGGTCGTACGATTCTCTGTTTGAGAATCGGAAGAATTGCTTTGGAAGAGACGGCGCTCGGCGGCAGAGCGGCCTGTTTACCGTTGGAACATGTCAGGCAACCGCTGATTAAGAGAATTTGCGCAAAAAGCAAGCGCACAGTGGCCGGCCCCAAAAGAGAGGCGGCGGAGTCCATACACTGCACCAAGAAAGTGCGATAAAATGAGTTATATTGTGTCTAGCGCTCTTCTTTACTGAAATTTTCCATTGAATGCTTCTCCGGGTAAACTTTAAAATGTCGCCAGTTGGTTATTGGGTATTCCTATTTCCCACACATGATTATTTTCTACTTTTGCAGAGCAAAATTTTCCCGAGTGGCCAATTTCCGTGCTGGTCAGTGTACCCTAAAGAAACACACAGCATAAAATCGAATGTTTTTGCTCCCTCTCTCGCTCTCAAGTCGGCTCCCGTTCGGCTCTTGTTTTCAAAAACACGATTGACGGCCTCCTAGGTGGGGAGCTGGTGCTCTGGAAGAGGACAGTAATGGTACCCCCCATGGCTGTACGTACTTATTTGGACGCACCACCGATCTGACGAGACGATCTTTGGTAGGCAACGAATTTGTTTGTTCTTTCATGTTTTTTTTTAGCATTTTGTTCGTGGACTTTTTGTTGCTTTTTGGGAAGCGGTGCAAAAACCAATTTCAGGCCATTATTTTCAGTTCATTTTGGGTGACATATTTGTTCGAGTTGAATTTTTGGCTGCTTTTTCTCTTCTGGTTTCTCTAGTTCTTTCTTTGTTTACTCGCGGTTTGGGTGCCTTTTTTGTGTACTTTTCCATTAAATGTGAGAACATAAATACTTAAGTACTATATGCCCAGGT